ATCAACACACAAGTAAATGATTTTTAAATATATTCAGAGCCAAAAAATCTTTGTGCATTTAAAAAATTTTGCCGATACGGATTCACTATTGCAGGAAATTGTTGAAAAAATATATATCGAGTATCTACTACTATCGACGAATACATTTGGCAACAACGCATGGTCTCGGCCGGAACGGCAACATCGCATATTAGAATACAAAGATAGTGGTAGAACGCGGAACGGCAACATGTTGCCGTTCAGCCACGCTACCGTTATAGTGGTAGAAAGAGAGAGACAGTGGAATCAGCAATATCTACGGATCGTGGCTGGATCAACTAAGTGTGCAAGTTTATATAAATGTATATGTATATATATATATACATTTGTCTTTAATTCAAAGGAAATATAAATAATGAACGCATCACATTTAAAACAGTATAAATAGTTAATAATTTAATAATAAGTTAATAGTTTAATAAGTACGTACGTAATATTATCACATGGTAACAGCACGTATTATGGCAAAAATAAACATCGGCTGATTTGAAAAGATTTATTATAGTAATAATAGTAATCTCAAGACAATTCACACAGCTTCATCTAGACCCAAGTTAAGCTAGCTGAAGATTATGTTATGGGTACTAGACAACTGATATAAATACAAAGATTTTTTGTGGTAAATACATATATATTATCTATACATAGAAAACACCCAGACCGTTACAAACAATCATACTCATGAATACAAATGTTTGCAGCGTGCGAGGAATCGAACCCTCGACCACCAAGCAGGAATCAAAGCGGTGTGCTAGCTAAATCGCTAGACTACCGATAACTAGCTGTACACGCGACTTCGTCCGCGTGGAATTTAACTTCTTATATTTTAGAAAAATAAAGTGAAATTCCACACGGACGAAATCCCGTGTACAGCTAGTCATCAATAAAAAAACACGTAGGTATCTCTAATATATTATACACTAGCTGTACCCGCGACTTCGTCCACGTGGTTTTTAACTTTATTTTTCTAAAATAAAAGTAGCCTAAGTTACTCCTTATTACATCAGCTACCTGCCAAAAAAAATCCCGTCAAAATCGGTCCAGCCATTTCAGAGATTAGCTGGAACAAACAGACAGACGGACAAAAATTGTAAAATATGTTATTTTGGTGTATGTACCGTATTTATATTCATATGCAAGTAGTAAAAAACGGTTATTTCAATATTACAAACAACAGGCTTCAACATTCTCAAGTACCACAAAAAAGATGTTTTTATTAAAAACAAGCTGTTCCCGCGACTTCGTCCGCGTGGAATTTAACTTTATTTTTCTAAAATAAAAGTAACCTAAGTTACTCCTTATAAATCAGCTATCTGCCAAAAAAAAGTACCGTCAAAATCGGTCCAGCCATTTCAGAGATTAGCCGGAACAAACAGACAGACAGACAGACTAAAATTATAAAAATTGTTATTTTGGTATATGTACCTTATATATATTCATATGCATGTAGTAAAAAACGGTTATTTCAATATTACAAACAGACACTCCAATTTTATTTATATGTATAGATGTATAGATTATTATTTATTTATTTATTTATTCATCCAAAATAATACAAATTGTGTAGGATAACGTAATAGTAACATTACAGTAAAATTTTGTCAACAACATAATAGCAACTTAAATATTAAATCTCGGTATATCTATAGACTAGCTGGCCCCAGCGACTTCGTCCGCGTGAAATTTTATTTTATTTTTCTAAAATAACAGTAGCGTAAGTTACTCCTTATTACATCAGCTACTTGCCAAAAAAAGTCCCGTGAAAATCGGTCCAGCTATTTCAGAGATTAGCCGGAACAAACAGACAGACAGACAGACAAAACTTGTAAAATGTGTTATTTTGGTGTATACCGTATTTATATTCATATGCAAGTAGTAAAAACGGTTATTTCAATATTACAAACAGACACTCCAATTTTATTTACATGTATAGATGTATAGATTAAAAAAAAAGTAACAGTCATAAGGCTAGTCGTATGCCTAATATATATAATAATGTAATAAATTCATTTAAACAGAAATTGCGGCAACATTATTTAAATTTGTAACTTTTTTACTGTCCTCCAATTTTCACATCTTTCTGTTATATCCCTATAGTTCTCTCTATATTTTCTGTTTTTCTTACTTTCAATTTGAGACTGTACTTATAATATGATTATCAGATCATTATGTATTTATTTATATATAATATTTATACATTTATGGGTTATATTTAAATGAATTTAATCGATAAAATCGTTGTTAAGTATTAAATTAATTTTAAGTGATATTAACTATTATATTATGCATAAAAAATATTTGTAATAATAAAGAAAATACATTTAAAATGTTTTATAGAAAATACATTTAAAATGTTAATAAAGACAAAAAAAAATAACAAAAAAAATCGGTGGCGGGAATCGAACCTTGAGCGTCCGTTTGGTAAGTTGATTCAAAGGCTTATTAAAATCAAAATTCAAAATTCAAAGGCTTATTTCTTCGAAATTACTGGTCATTTTGAAATAATACTTAGGGTTCGCATACCTTTATCGGATACTACTACTACACGGAGTTTCGTCAAAATAAAATATCTAGGTTAGGTATAATAAATTCATAATTAATAGACCGTTACGGTATCTGTATATATTCGGATCAAAACACTATACTATGAAATAAGAACGAGTATGTAAATTGATTAACACAAGTAATTGATTTTTGAAATATATTCAGAGCCAAAAAGTCTTCTTTCTTTATTTATGTACTTGTTAGATGCGACAGCGACTTTGTTTTATACTATACTATACTATACTATGTAATGATTGATATACCTAAAATAAATAAAATATCTGAGGTTTGGACAAAAACTCAAAGGGTAATTTATTTTGAAAAAGTATTTTGAAAATACCTATTTTGCTTTTAGTGTTATAGTACTTTAACTGATATGTTTTAAGTAACAATGTTTAATTATAATTAATACTACTGCACCAACACTCCGATCGTGCAAAAAAATTTGCTGTTTCATTATTTTTTAGTTCAATTAGTGGTCTACCTAAGTCCTGGGCTAAGGGGGGAGAGTCATGACGCCCCCATGACTCCCATGACCTCCATGACGCTCCCCCCTGGATCCGCCGTTGCGTCTTCTCTTTATTCGCTTAGTAACGTTGTTACAAAAGAAAAGATTCCCGTCCAAAAAAATAATAAGTATTGAGGTTTGATCTGGAGTCACGTTACTCCAGACTGATTTCTATGAATATTTAGATTAGATAGACTATTATTCTTGAAATACTAGCTAGACATTATTAAGTTACTGTAGCCATAATGTAGTAGCCCAAACGTGCCAATGAGGAAGCCCTTGGCAAATGCTGCACCCTGATTGGCCCGTTTGAATTGGATCAAGAACTGCTCGTATGCCAAAAAGGTGGATTTGTATAAAGTCGTGTATAAATCGCGTAATTATTATTATTACTCGTCGTGACAGTTGTGGCTCAAAACGGATCAACATTTATATATGGTCATCTGGCATTAGATCAACAAAAGGCCTCCGGATCAACAAGTGAAAAAGGATCAACAAAAAACTACCTATACGGCACGTCTGAGCCACAAAGTGCCCAAGGGGATATTTATATATATATATAATATAATATATATAAAAACAGATGCATCAATCAGTAAATATCCTAAACTTGCCAACTAGTATATACTATGGCACTATACTGCCAACTACAAAAGGTTATTCTAAATACATGCCGCATAGTCAGAAAATTCCTTCAAACTGATCAGCCCGATATTCATTATATTACATTGACGTTAAAAACAAAAAAATGTTATGTACCTACTTGGCTTAGGCCCGCACATAGTACAGTACGGACCTCGCTTCATCTAAGGAAGGATGACGCCGGGAGTAGGTGCGCGTCACTCAAGGAGTGGGGCTGAAAGGCCCGCGTTGTTAGGGTTTGTGGTTGAACAGCACTCTGCTCCCGCATCCCCAGCGCTATGGCACTGGAGGACACTAAGGGGTTTTAGCCGATAGGAGTCCGACAGTATCTGTGCATCTCCCCCGGGGCGTGCGGATCACCATGACGGATTTCCCCTTGTAAAAAAAATTGTCCGTACATAGCAAAAATACCGGTGAAATCTGAGGAGAAAAATAATAATAATAATTAACTTAAATCAAATAAAATAAACAGAAATCTTAATAAAAACATTTATTTAACAAATATAGTAACACAGTTGTGGCTACATCACTAAATTATCTTGCATTTGGATTTAATTTTGCATGTTATGTACATGATAAAATGGCATTCATCATCTCAGTCAGGAAAACGTCCACTGTTGAACAAAGGCCTCCCCCAAAGATCTCCACGACGATCGGTTCTGCGCTGCTCGCATCCACGTCTTCAAGCGATCTTGTCCAGGTCGTCGGTCCACCTTAGTGGAGGCCTTCCCACGCTGCGTCTTCCGGGCCGTGATCGCAACTCGAGGACTTTACTGCCCCAATGGCTATCTGTCCTACGAGCTTTATGCCCTGTCCATTGCCACTTCAGTTTCGCAATTCTTCGGGGTATGTCGGTCACTCTGCTTCTTCTGCGGATGTCCTCATTTCTGATTCGATCACGCGAGGAAACTCCGAGCATAGCCCTCTCCATTACCCTCTGAGTGACTCTGAACTCAGAGGTTCATACAGAGTTAGCGACCATTGCATTAAGTATGTATATTACAATAAGTGTTAGTGCAAAAACTTTCTGATTATACTTTAAAGTTTAAGTTGTTAGTGAATGCCAAACGGAATCAAGTTCACATATTGTAGTACAAGAGTATTGTATTATTCAATAAATAATAAATAAATAAATATAAAGTTACTCATAGATGTATATGTATATCGTATACAGGCCATAATTATTGATATACAAACTATATTATATTTATGTTTTTGTGGAAAAAATAAATATATATTATTATCATATTGATGCATTTTCGTTTAGTTCCTAGAAGATCATCAAGTTCAGCTGTCGTCAATGAAATCTACAAAATATGTGGAGCCTTTTATAAAAGAAGTAGATTACTGGGAAAAGTCTTTAGGATATATTTCAGAATGTATTGAGGTTTGTATACAATAAATACAGGGGTTGTCAGAAAGGGCTAAGCCGCAAGATTATGGAAATACCCGGTAATGAACAACTTGCCATCATTTACCATCAGATGAGGTAATACCCAGCGCATCCCATTATTAATAAAAAAATAAAATAAAATTTTGTTCTACAACTTTCTCTGAAATACTTTCTTCGAGAAAAGTCGGTTCGCAGTTGTTACATAAAATTACAATAAAATAGACAAAGCCATTAGCATTAGCTAATATTAGTCCTATCATAATATGGGAGTATGTAACAACATTGATAGTTTTAATACATTAAAATCGGAGGAGTGATTTTGTTGTAACCAAGTGCTAACATTCCACAAATCAAGAACGTCGGCAGTTTTTGCCGACCTTTTTCAATAAATAATACATGTTTTTTAATTAAAAAGTAACATGTCTCTTAATGAAAAAGTAATAACATCGTGCGATTTCTATTAGTTCTTAGTGATATGTTTTTTCGGACTACTCTAATGATATTTGCCGCAGCTGGCCTTTACAACTTCACCGGACAATAGGGGGCGAGTGCAGATGGCACTATAAACCCGCGGAAGGACTTATGGAGCGGCTGAAGGCCAACTCCCGCCTGACAGATACGACTTTAGTCTAAGGGCACCGCAAGTTTACACTCTTTCCCGAGGAGATAAAAACGATCGCTCCTAAGAATATCCTTCAATTCTTGTCCCTGACGGGTCTGGGTAGCGAGCTCTGAAAAGGGCGAGCACAATAGATCTATGTAGGTCGCAGTGCTACAGGTGCTACACATCTGACAATAGCCCAAAGAACCCAATAAAAAAAATAAAAATAAAAAAAAGGGCACCGCTAGGGGTTCGGACCACAGCTCAGGCCGTCGTAATTTAGAATTGATCAGAGAGGAATGTGTTAGTGTTACTAGCTGATTAGTATACCCTTTCCGACTAAGCCTGTATAATTAGGTATTTAGATAAATGGACACGGATTCTAATATCAATTGTTCTCTTAATAGATTGCCTTGCAAGTACAACGAAGGTATCTCTATCTAGAAAGTATATTCAGTGGTGAAGATATAAGAAAACAATTACCCAATGAAGTGCAAGTATTCGATGCTCTCACTGCTGATTGGACTGAAATTACTAGCAAGTAAATATAGTATTACTTCCTGTAGTGTATGTGTAACACTGTTATTCGAGATTAACTATAGTTTTTTTGTACTTCTGTAATGGTGTTAGCCGCAACTGGCCTTTACATCCTCACCGGACCAAAGGGGGGGTGTGCAGAAGGCACTCCAAACCCGCGGAAGGACTTATGGAGCGACTGAAAGTCAACTTCTATCTGACGGATACGACTTTAGTCTGGGGGCACCGCTAGGGATTCGAACCTCGGTTCAGACCGTCGTAATCCCCGGTTGAATTGGATGGGAGATCGATCGTAGAGGTGGAATGGGGAATCGATCAGAGGGGAACAATTAATTACAATTACTTAATGGAATATGGTAATGTAACATATATGTGTAGATGTTTAGATAAATGTCTCATTTTATTTATATTTTAACAGTATGAATGCAGGCACCAATGCTGTAGAAGCCTGTTTGTTCAAACCAGCACCGTACGTCTTCAACAAACTCAATAACATGGTCGATAACCTTGATGGCATATTGAGGGCATTGGAGAAGTATCTCGAAACAAAGCGACAATTGTTCCCAAGATTCTACTTTATATCCAATGATGATCTTTTAGAAATTCTTGGCAATTCAAAAAAACCTCAATTGATACAAGTTCATTTAAAGAAACTGTTCGATAATGTGAACAAAATAAGAATCGATAAGGTAAAGTTAACAAAAATTACAATACTAATTGTATATTAATTGTGATAATATAAAATATATATATATATATAATAATAATAAATAAATGACAACAATAAATAAAAAAAAATCTATGAACTCCGCTAATATTTATATAAGGATAATGATTATGTAACTAAATATTAGTACTACCTAATAAAGAAAATGCTGCAAATGTTTATATTATACGCCACATACGAAAGACAATGAAATTTGTGATTCCTTATTCATTTTATAGTTATTACATCGTAAATATTTTAAAGTACACTAGATTAAGAAATCTGCAAGTGTTTAAAAAGGATTTTATAGTAATATTTAGTTTGGAAAAGCTAAATATTGATGTTATGTTAACTATTTTTTTTAATATCGCTTGGTTTCGTTTGTTATATACTTTCATTAGCCATAGTATTTTTTCCATAATTTAAAAGTTACGCTCTTCTCGGTGGAGCACTTGTTCCACCATTTTCCATAAATGTCTTTAGTTGTTGAAACGACCGTCATGACTCCAACTTTTTCCTTCTATTTTGCGATTGATAACATTAATTATAAATTCGTCATGTCGTATCAAGTGCCCTAATATTTTTCCCTGCTTATTCTTAATAATATTTATGATATGTAGAGACATAGACCTTAGATAAGAAATGACGAAGTACCAAAGAGTTAAAGCACTCTTTTCTTTAACCCTTTGGAGTACTTCTTCATTTATTATATTTCCAGCTAATTCTTTCCATTCTTCTCCAATATCCACATTTCAGCTTCAATTCTGTCCCATAGTTAACTATTATATAATCTGTTTTAGTAGTATCATAATTCTACTAGTATGGCAACTTTTTTTTTTGTTTTATTTATCCTTAATGGAAAGGCAAAGAGTCTAAGCCCATACAGCCGTTGTCTTTGGTATCATTTCTGTTAGTATGGCAACTTGAAAATGTCAGTGTCAAATTTTAATTCAATGTCAGTTGTTTACTGTCTTACTACCATTCAAATTTATATTTACACCTCCAAAGTCACATCTCTTAAACATCTAAGTATTATTCCCGGTATTTTTACATTTCTTTTAAATAAGAACAGTTTTAATAAGAACGTAGGTGATCTCCGGAGGCCACTAGTCTCGACCGATTTCTTATTCAAAATATATACAACTGATTCTAGTGATACACAACCTTTAAATATAAGTTTTAACATTATTAACTTAGTGTAACCTAACCTATTCTTTAATAATTTGGTGTTAATAAGACAATATGACAGAAGAGGACATTACTAAATGCTATTTTATTCCAAAAAGCGTAATGGTAAGTAAACAACAATGTTATTTTTTAATTCGTAATATACAAAGTACAAATGTGGAAATTATAAAAGGTATGTTAATAATTAGTTGAAAAACTGCTTCACCACACTGCTTGTGTTGTTCAAGCATACATAGGGACGGTCAGACAACGACAGCAAATTTGTTTTATACTATATAATGATTAATTAAAAAAAGTTATATATAAAAAGCACCAATTGAGCCTATTGTCATTTCTTCTCCATGGAAATAGCTAGCCGAAGTAGGGGTAATGATAAAAACGTGGCAGTTCAAAGGTGACAGAAGAAGCTCTAGAACAATAATATTTTTTTACCTACAGGAAAAAGTAATTGAAGTTACTGAGAGTCCACTTGAGCGTGAATATTTTTTATGCAAACGCAATCTGTGGCGAATGCAAAAGGACAAAATAGAACCATTACGTCTCCTACAGCAGAGTCCGACGAGCCGCAAGTTTCAGTTGGCCATTCACAGAGCCATATACTCTCACAATTGGAACAAGTTGCTATATTTGCTAAGGAAATTTCCTATTTGGCACCATTATCAAATGTGTGGAGGATTGAATATGGATACCATGGTTATTTATATTAGGGTAAGTATCATAATACTTCCTTGTAAAGGTTTTTTTAGGGATGATAATGAAATGGTGCACCCATCTGCGCTAACGGTTTATGCGGGGCACCAGTGGAGGATGATAAGATGAACATGAGGTCAGTTCAGTTAGCCCATCATGATAAATTGACCAGGAAGTTATCATAATGGTTTCCAGGGGGAACTGCGTGGAGATCAAGCGTGACATGGTACATTGTTAGTAATGGGGTCATGAGTCCACATCACTAACAATTCCCTTACTCCCTCTTTGTAAAGATTATGCAAGCATAAAATCAAATCCATGGGAGATTTCGGCACTTTTGAGGAGCTTGATGGCTATTTTAGTCGTCTTAGCTCTTGAAATAGAAAATCATTTATTCAAATAAACGTAATTTAAGCACTTTTGAGTAGTCATAGCTTGGTCATCTCATATTCATCTTATCCTCCACTGGTGTCCTGCCAGCGTAAACCGTTAGCGCAGGCGGGAGCACCATTCCATTCTCATCCACAAAAAAAAAATGTACATGTAGTCTACATGTACAACGGCCCAGATGAGAGGCAAATTGAAAATGGAGCCCAACTTACATTACTGTACATTACATCAAATCAAATTAAGATAATCTGCACATAGTATAAAATGAAGTCCCTTCTGCTGTTCCATTACAGCTGACATGAATGAAATGAAACAAACTACGCAATGTATTATTTGGCAATAGATAGCGATCCAAGTGTACACACCTGCAAAGGGTCTGGTAGCTAGTCTGTACCTCTGTACATCTATACATCTATACATATAAATAAAATTGGAGTGTCTGTTTGTAATATTGCAATAACGGTTTTTTACTACATGCATATGAATATATATACGGTACATAACTAACCAAAATAACACTTATAATTTTTGCCTGTCTGTGTGTCGGTCTGTTTGTTCCCGCTAATCTCTGAAATGACGACCGATTTAGATTAGACTTTTTTTGCCGGGTATCTGAAGTAACTTAGACTACTTTTATTTTAGAAAAATAAATTTAAATTCACATGTATGTAGTAAATACGGTTATTTCAATATTAAAAACAGACACCCCAATTTTATTTACATGTATAAATTATATGTATAAATGTATAGATTATTTAAATTTACTTTTTTGTTATAGGCTCTGATTATATTGCTGATCTATCACCCAACTGCCTACAAGTATAAATGTATAAATTACTAGCTTTTGCCCGCGGCTTCGCTCGCGTTAATTTATCCTCTTAGGGATGGAATTTATCAAAATGCTTTCTTAGGGGATGCCTACGTCATAGTATCTTTATGCATGCAAAGTCTCAGCCCGATTGGTTTAAAATTGACAAAGTTTCATACAAACTTTCATCCCCTATTTTATGCCCTTGGGGGTAGAACTAATCAAAACCCTTTCTTAGTGGATGCCTACGTCACAACATCTATCTGCATGCCAAATTTCAGCCTGATCCTTCCAGTGGTTTGGGCTGTGCATTGATAGATCACTATGCCAGTCACCTTTGAGTTATATATATTTAGATATGTAGGTATAGATTATTTAAATTTACTTTTTTGTTTTAGGCTCTGATTATATTGCTGATGTATCACCCAACCGCCAAAGCTAAATCTTTACTACACGAATACTTCCACATGATCTGTTCATGTCGCACGGACGTTGACAAGAAAGCTCTAAAAAAGGTCCTACTGAGTTTACCTGAAAAATTTATGTTCATAATGAATTCAATTATGAAACACCAATTAAATGACGACTACTCTTTAAAAAGGGACATATTTCAATTATAAATTAAGAGAAATTATTTTTCTAAGTGATATCTGAAGTTTTAATTGATGATAATGAGTGGTGGTGGATATGATGAACACGAGGTCAGGTCAGTCAGCCCATCGTGACATATTCAAGAATTTATGGTTTCCAGGGGGACCGAGGTCAACCTGACATGGTGCATTGCTAGTATGGGGTTATGAGACCATATTACTAAAAATTGCACATTTTTATATAGGTACTAGCTGTCCCTTCAAACGTTGTTTTGCCATATAAATTAATAACGCTATACAAAAAAAGGGGTTGGTGAAGAAAGGTGAAAATTTAGGGTTGTATGTATTTTTTAATGACACATAATAAAAAAATATAAATAAAAAAAAAATATGTTAGGTGTGGACAACCCTTATCACTTAGGGGTATGAAAAATAGATCATAGCCGATTCTCAGACCTACTATACCTATTTAAAATTTCATAAAAATCAATGAAGTCGTTTCAGAGGAGTATGGTAACATTGTGACACGAGAGTTTTATATATAAGATTTATTTTTCTACCAATGTTTGCTGTATTTTTTTTATAGTTTTCATGTTTCAAAGGCAAAAGTTTTCATGTACGGGATTTTCATTTGATGTTAGACATAGACACCTATATAAATACCTATGCATTGTAAATAAACTGACTTTTAAAAAAAAGTAATTCAGTTGATTTTCTTGGCAGTTCTTCTCAATTGGATCTATATACCGAACTGGACGAAATAAAAATATAATGTAAAAACTCGACGTTCATAAGCGGCTAAAATGCCCTACATGAATTATTTTTGAATTTGAATTTGAATTTATATTTATAGTATTGTCATATATTGTTTACTGACAATAAAAAATATATGACAATTCTGTTACCTTACAACTGTTTGTATGTACTTGTATCTTTATTATAAGTATTTACCATTTTCTATCCATTGTTTGATTTATATGACGCTCCATTTTCCGCTTTCATTACAGCCCATTCATTCTATCATAGTAAGTTAAAACATTGTGCAGTAGTGGAAAACTAATTTTTAATACCTCTTTTATCTAAAAGTTATGACTAAAATATTAGTTTTTATGCTAAAAACTACTTTGTTTTTGTTCATATCATTCTATTCTTTTGTAACAATAACTATTTTACTTTATTTTAGTTTAACTTCTTTAAGTAAAAAAATAATTGTAAGTCAACTGTGGTCTGTGAAATTTATAACTCAAATAAAGTGGTCCACCGTATAATTCACGCTTGTTGCTACTTGTTTTTAGTTTTTTTAAGATTAAATATGTGATTAGTAATCATAACTTGTTTTTAGTTTTTTAAGATTAAAATATGTGTTTAGTATTCATAGTGTGTAAGATTGTTACCTCTGATTTTGACAATTAATAATAAATTATTGAGAAAACATTGAATTTTATTTTTCTCCTTATATTGTACAGGATCTTATCGTAAAAGGTGTATCCAGCAAAATAGCACCGATAGTTTTAACGAATATGAAGAAATTTCTCAAATAACCAATTTGGAAAAATGAAAATAACTTTTATAATGAACAGTGCAAAATTTGTTTTCTGTATCCGTCATACTCGTGAACGAGTACTGCGTGTAGAGTAAGTCTTGTCTATTTGTGTCAACTTAAAAATGTAAAGTTACAACGATTATTTAAAAGAACAACCTACAAATTATTCGCTCGTTCTTGTGATAACACAGTTTATAAAAATGAGCAGTAGATGAAAAAACTGACATTTCAAATTTTTTAAATTAAATTAGGATTTTTTCTATTTTATTGTTTTCCACTTTGTCCTGATAACAGTGTAACTGTTAAGCTTATGAGTTTTAAACACATGTCTTTTGACTTGGTATTTATGGCTCTATAAAATAAGTTTTCAACCGTCCAATATTTAATTATATTGTTAAATCTTATTTCAATTCAAGAATGCCCTCGGGCTCCCAGTAGCAAAAGCAATGATGTCCGAAGATGGAGAATGTATAGAGTGGAAGCATAATCTGGTGCTAGACGGACCCGCGGAAGTCTGGCTTCTTGGCTTGGAGCACACCATGAGGGTCGTCTTGAGGGAGGTGAGAATATTAAATTAAAAATAAAAACCAGGAATTGTCTATGGTCCCTCGATAACTCTACTTCTGAAAGACTTAAGAAGACTTATAATCACAAAAGCAGACTTTGTCTATGGTTTCTTAATAATTGTTCCTGGACGACTTATTCTGCTAAATGACTTGCAGGGCCATTTAGTTTTCTTTGTCGTTGGTTTCTTGATTACTGTAACCTTTGAACGACTCCCACAGGGCTATGTCGCAGATTATGCAGAGATTATCTATGGTTTCTTGATAACTGATGTATGTTACTCTTTCACGCAAAAACTATAGTAATATAGCCCTTACAGGTACATAGAATAATACATAGGCTACAAATTTCATGCTCGTGAAACCACGCGCACAGTAATGTATATAAATCTGAAGGTTAGTAAAAAAACATTTCTATATGTGCACGTAGATTCACTCACATGAAAAAGCGCCTATTAAACGCGATTAGCAAAAAAGACTGCTGTAATGCAGGCTTTAGTATAGAGTTTAAAAAATTTAAACATGTTTATATTCAGAATGGCTGTACAGTTATAAAATATATTTCAGCAATTGATCCTTACACGCGCGGCGTTGCGGAAATGTCGTTATCAGAGAGAACAGTGGATTAACGATTGGCCTGGGCAGCTGGGCATCACTTGCAGTAAGGTAGGTGTGGAAAACTGATAAACTGTTTTTTTTTTATTGATAATGGAATGGTCCACCCGCCTGCTGTAACGGATTACGCTGGCGGGGCACTGGTTAAGAACAATAAGACGTGCATGACGTCAGATCAGTTAGGCCATCGTGACAAATTCACCAGGAATTTATCACGCTGGTTTCCAGAGGGAACTGCGTGGAAGTCAATCTACCAGGATAGTCAATCACGGTACTATGTTGGCAATGGAATTAATAGTTCACATTTAACAATCCCATTTTCCCTTTATGAACTGGTTAAAATGAGACCGGTTAGTTGGTATGGTATATCTATCAAAGAGGAACGTAAAATAAAATTGAGTAGAGATTACTGATAATGTTTAGATTCAATGGACGTCTGACTGCACCCGCACTCTGTGTCGCTGCGAAATAATGCAAGAGAAGAAGCCAATGAAAAAACTACGTAAAAAGCAGAATCAGATCCTAACCACGCTGCAGATGATGTCGCGGAAGGAGATCACGAAAATTCTGCGGTGCAAAGTGAACGCGCTCTGTGTTATAGAGATACACTCAAGGGATACTGTCGATAGAATGTATAAAATGGGTTAGTGGTGGCTACATATTGATGTAAACGTTTTGTACACGTCTTCTTACATTTGTATTACCTTTTGGTGGTCCATGGGAGGGGATCGTCCCCATTTGGGGACTAAAATTATGATGTCGATGTAAGTCTTCCTAATTATCGGATCTTAGACTCACATCTTTGTTAATGGTCGCACGATGCCAGCTGTGTGTGGTAGAGACAACATAATGCGTCCTTCTCTTTCACACATATACTACAAGAATTATCTTTGTTATTTATTGGCCGTTTGCAGAAAGATAGAACCAGTTTATCTACTATTATTTCTAGCAGCGCCTGCCTTTTATCTTCTACATAACCAAGTAGCTTTAACATTTATTATCTTAATACCCTTTAACGAAATTATCCTGCCAGAGACAATATTAGTCTACTATTACCTGATTTAAAAGGCTACTGCTCCTACCACGTTTGTCACATTGTTTATCTTTATTTCTTAATCGTCTTTTTGGAGATGAAAGGGAATATTGACTTTCTTATTCCATTACCATACTAATACTAAGCTAATAGAAATACAGGAAATACCTGTTAATTATTGCATTCTTATAGGATGCATGTCGGTGACCGCTTTCGAGTGGTTTTCTCAACTGAAATTCTATTGGGATCGTGAGAGGGAGGATTGCTACATCAGACAGACGAACACCAACTCTGTATATACATATGAGTATATTGGAAATTCGGGGCGGCTCGTGATCACACCTCTTACTGACCGGTAATATTGTATTGATTACTTTGATATCAGGTATGTTTGTTTTTTCATCATATTGTTGACGACCGATGATTGATATCCGAAATTTCAAAGTGGATTTACAAATAGTTCATCTAGTGGTTCAACTTGTTTTACCTTCTACGTTTGGCTATGCCATGTACCTATTACACTAGCCGTGAATGGCATTTTATGAATGCAAACTTTTCTATCTCTTCTAGATTTTTTGTTTTAAAAATCAAATGGTTTCTACTTATCCATTTACTTTTTGAAACTTGTTCACGATGCTTCTATTGTAGATGTTATATCACCCTCACGACGGCGCTGCACCTCTTCCGCGGGGGAAGTCCTCAGGGACCGGCCGGTACGGGCAAGACCGAAACCACCAAAGACCTAGGTCGCGCATTGGCGAGATGGGTCGTAGTCACCAATTGTTCTGATGGACTTGACTACAAGTCTATGGCGAAATGTTTTGCAGGTAATGTAACATCCAAACAATACTACTATCTTTGGACGTCAAAATAATTATGTAGAAAATATATTTTTAGATGTCTTATAGATACACTTAAGTATTTTTGTTGTGCTTGGAGAAATCTGTAATGGAGATTCGCCAACTTCCGGATTATAAAACGGGCACTCCTGACCCCTGCTGGCTAAAACTCCAAGGTGTACCTCCACCGCCTATTTCGGGAGCCACGAGTGTGCCAGCTCTGACGGCGGAAATATTAATAGACGGGCCACTTCTTAGGGACTTTCTTCGGGACGGGACACTCAAGTAGCGCGGGTACACCCATACGTCTACCTAGGGCTTTTATATCGACGGGGAAGCAGCCGCACGGCCGCTGTCCCTATCCCTTGAGGAAGAAGAAGAACAACGTCTCCTCCTTTTTCTATTTAGAAAATAGGGTCGACGGGAGGCAATTTCGCGATCACTCTCTCTCTGCCGCCTCCTTCCTTGGCATTGCAGTCTCGCAGTATGCGACCAGGTACTCCCGTTGTCATTTCACGAATAAACTGGCAACGAGAACTCATTTCCTATAACTGCAAGTCTAAGTTATTTACTGCAACTTGTTTTGAACGATGACCAGTGATAAAGCAGAAAAATTACTGGGCAAGCACTGCGACACCACAATCTTCACCTATCAAAGGATCGTTGAACGCATTTGTAGAACTTTATCCTATGTATCCAAAACATTGCAAGTGATGCTTGTGAGTATTGTTATCAGGTATTGCTCAAAGCGGTTGCTGGGGCTGCTTCGATGAGTTCAACCGCATCAATATAGAGGTTCTGTCGGTGGTGGCGCAACAGATCCATGCTGTGCTGCTCGCTCTCTCGCTTTTTCAGAAGAAATTTGTATTCGAAGGTTGTGAGATCAAACTCGACAGTAACTGTGGCATTTTCATCACTATGAACCCTGGGTAAGATTAGTACGAATTAGAAATAGGTAAAATGTTATATTACGAAAAATTTGGTAAATTAGGTAAATATGATTTGACTGATTCGGTGGTTTAGCGGTTTAGTTAGCTTACCGCTTTACTTCTAATATTCGCGACCGATTCCTCGCACAGTGCAAAATTTTGTATTCATAAGTATATTTGTTGTAACGGTCTGGGTGATTTCTATAGATTTACAAAAAAATGTCTATAAGAATTTATATTAGTTGTCTAGTATCCATAACATAGTCGTCTTGTACCCATAACACAAGTGCTGCTTAGCTTAGTACTAGATGGAGCAGTGTGAATTGTGCAAATATAATATGGGTTTAACACAGTTATATTACTACTTAACTAAAATAATCGCATATAGTTTTAATCCCTGATGAATTTCCCTCCCGGGAATCCTTGACGTTACGATGCATAATGATGTTTCCCAAAAGAAACATCAACAGCTTTAGGTTCTTCTGATACCTGTTGTTTAGAGATGCAATCTGGAAATTAAAACTATGGATTTTTTAAATTTCGTAATTTAATGTTTTCTTTTGTAGTTTGATAATAATTTTGGTTAATTAAATATTACCACCCGCTAGTATCACCCACTCACTAATAGCTAAGCTATAGATTAGCTCACATTGTCTCTAATTAATATTGTTACTATATCTAAAAGTGCAATATTACAGCTATGCCGGTCGAACCGAATTGCCAGACAATTTGAAGTCTATGTTTCGACCGATTGCTATGTGCGTACCCGATTCGCTGATTATAGCTGAGAACACACTCTTCTCCGATGGTTTTACAGCATATAAAGTTAACGCTAAGAAGGTAAAGTTTAATAAGTTCTTGTTGATTAATTTAAAAAAGATAAATTAAATAACACATAAGACTATAAATGCGTAAATACATAAAATATAATATTATATATAATAATAATAATAATAATAATCTTAGGACAATTCACACAGCGCCATCTAGACCCAAGTTAAGCTAGCTAAAGCTTGTGTTATGGGTACTAGATAACTGATACAAATACATAGATATTTTTTTTTGTAAATACATACATATTATATATAGAAAACACCCAGACCGATACAAACAATCATACTCATGAATACAAATGTTTGTGCCGTGCGAGGAATCGAACCCGCGACCATCGGTCGTAAAGCGGTGTACTAGACCGCTGGACCACCGAGGTCGTCATATATATAAAATAGCATATATATATGTATATATAAACATAAACTATTTATTATATAAATAATGTAAATATGTATATGTGTGTCATCTATTTAAATATATATGATAAACACCTAGTGAAACACAACTAGCCCTACGAAAACTTCTGCTGTATCAAATCGCAGCTGAAGTCAATACATGTTAATAAAAAAAGTACAGTGAAACAAATAAAATAAATAAAAAAAAAAGTGCAGCCAGGCTAAAGTGGTATCCTTCAGTTGCTCCAAGTCCCTCCGCAGCTTTGGAGTGCTATCTGCACTCGCCCACTCGTTTGGCGAATCTACATATAAGAGCCAGTAGTTGAAATTCGACCATAATTAATTTTACATTCAAACTATACACAAATAATATTACAGACAAACAATATTCATTTATTCTCAATTTGACCACAGACTTTAACAATAAACAACAGAGTATATGTAATGTTTTTTATTCATTTAATGTAATTGCGTAAGGGTGCTAAATTCTACACTCCTCCATCCGCGCAAATTCTGTAAATCGGGGTACAAAATGTTTACTAATTTTACAAATATTATTACTATGTAATACTAATGTATGTTACTTTATTATTTTGTCAAAGGGACAATATAGTTTTTCATTCATAGTTGCCAATTCCAGGTGTTCACATTGTACCAGCTGGCGATGCAGCAGCTATCAAAACAGGATCACTACGATTTCGGTCTCCGGTCCATGGTCGCGTTACTGCGCTATGCTGGTGTGAAGCGGAGGGCGTATCCGAACTTGCCGGAACAGGAGGTCACTCAATACATACTTATTGGCAAATGTTTTTAATACTACCGGCCCTCCGATCGATCCACCGTCCAATTCTAATGAGGATCGAAATTACGACGGCCTGAGCCAAGTTTCGAACCCCTAGCGGTGCCCCCAGACTAAAGTCATATCCGTCATGCGGGAGTTGGCTTTCAGCCATTGCATAAGTCCTTCCGCGGGTTTGGAGTGCCATCTAAATATCGTCCGATGAAGCTACAAAGGCCAACTGCGGCCAACTGCATTAGAGTAGTCCGAAAAAATAGTTGTTCTAAGAAAAAAAAGACGTGATATTATGGAACATTACCTCAAGATTGTTGATTTTATTAGAAATGGTCTGCTTGCTTACAGATGGTTATTTTAGCTATGAGAGACATGAATGTGGCCCGTCTAACAGCCAAAGACGTGCCTTTATTCGACGGTATAATGCAAGATATCTTCCCAGAAGTGGAGGTTCCAACGTTAGACTACGAGATGCTGGAGAATGCCATATCGGCTGAGATGAGGCTTGTCGGTCTTCAGCCCGTGAAGGCTGCTCTTCATAAGGTCATACAGACCTACGAAACGAAGGTGCTTAGATAATTTATACGGAACTTAGTTTATTTACTATTTGGTAATACGCAAGTGACACCCCTGATGTTTCAGGCCTCCATAGGTTACGACAACCGTTTATGATTAGATGGGATTCTAAAAAGTCTTCTACACAGGTACTTTGGTCTCACCTATTTCAGCCGCCAAGCAACTTGTTTTGTAAGTTGTTTTGGATGTAGGGTGCAGATTAGGCTTTAATTTTACGGGATAAGAGGCATGATGCCTTAGTTCCCTAGAATGGGACTGAACTCTGGGACGGGATGAAACTTTTACTACAGGTACTAGACAACTGATACATAAATATATACATAATAGATATAGAAACCATACAGACGCAATCATATTATGAATACAAATTTATGGTCCGGGCAAGGAATCATACGCGCGGCCGAAAAAGTGCTAAACCGTTAGACCGACTGATATTCGACGCATTCCACAGAATTCTCGTCATTCGAGCATCCTTCTCGGTGATACTAACACTGCCAAGTCTGTGTCATGGAAAATGCTAGCCGCCACTATCAGTCGGCTGGCCATGGAGAAAGTACCAGGTTTCGTGAACGTCCAGGTGTATCCCATGAACCCGAAAGCTTTGACCCTGGGAGAGTTGTATGGGGAGTACAATTTGGCTACTGGAGAGTGGAAGGATGGGGTGCTATCGTCTATCATGAGGACCACATGCCAAGGTTGGATATTATAATAAACCTGGACAATTCACACAGTGCCATATAGTCCCAAGGTATGCAGAGCTAGTGTTATGAGTACTAGTCAACTGATACAAATACTTTATATATTTTTTATAAATACATGCATGTTGTACGTAGAAAATACCCAGACCGATACGATCACACTCATGAATACATTTTTTTGTACCCTACGAGGAATCAAACCCGCGACTATCGGAAGTAAGGTGGCGTCCTAAACCGGAGTCGTCAGTGTATGTTTGTATCTATTCTATACTTTTGTTGCTCCAGATGAATCGCCTGATCAAAAATGGATCATATTTGACGGGCCTGTAGATGCAATTTGGATTGAAAACCTCAACTCTGTGATGGATGACAACAAATTACTCACGTTGGTCAACAGTGAGAGGATATCTATGCCAGCACAGGTGACAGAGGCTCCCTTTTTGAGCAATAACGAGACGAGGTAAAATATAACCTATGTCCTTTGTACTAAGAGTCAGTATGATTGATGAAGCTGCGAAGCCGAGTGATAGCATTTATGTGTGAATCTCTGATAACGATATCCGGGATAAAGTAAAGTGGCGGAAGAATACAAGGAGAGCCACCATTATATGGGAAACATACAAGAAAGTTTAGAAGTATTGATTAACTACTAATATACCTTTGTTTTCCTTAAAATTCTTCGCCTTAAGACTCAGTTAACAATGTAAATAATTTGTAGCATGTTAGATTATCTTGATTATAAATATCCTCAGGTTTCATTGCTGATAGAAACTTTGGATTTGGCTGTAGCATCGCCGGCCACTGTGTCTCGCAACGGCATGGTGTACAACGACTATAAGGACTGGGGCTGGTGGCCATTTGTCAACTCTTGGCTGGACACCATTGACGACCTAGAGTATAGGGACACGGTTTGTGAAGATTTTAGCACTTGTCTCCTTTATATCCATCATCATCGTCGCCTTGACTTTATCCCATTACCTTGAATTAAACAAAAGAATATAAATCTATTAAGTGAAGAAATGGATTTTAAAGATAGATTTAGATGTGTCATAGAAAGATGGTAACGCAACTTCGATGGCAAAACTGGCGAGCGCAGCTGTAATGGTGGGATATAATAATAATGTTTAAATTATTCCCGCCGGGTATTTCTCATTACTAGCATATGTGATACATTAGGTAGTCGAAATGACAGTGATACGGTGTCCACCAGCTGCGGCGTCACTTCAGCAACATCCTGAGTCCGGTGCTGGAGCTGAAGCGGCTGCAGCTGAGCGAGGGCGCGGGCGTGCGCGGCCACGAGCTCACGGCCGTGCGCGCACTGTGCCGCCTGCTGGCGCGCTGCCCACCGCCAGCACCTGCTCCGTCCGAAGAGGGGGACGACCAGGGACTCTCCAAGATGAGGTTTCTGTTCGCGTGAGTACGCTGCGACAGTGTTCGATTCACTATACTCGCGGATACAGTTTTGCTCTTCGGGGTTCTTGGAATTTGGTTTATATATGAGCATTGTTACGTAAGGACTGTATTAACCGGTCATTAAAACTAAATTAAACGGCCACCTTTTACCATCGCACCGCTCGCCCATCGACAGAGAATTCATTCCCACAATATGCAACAAGCATATTGCACATGAATCCTCGCTATACCAATTGCTTCACTATAAGTATGGATAGTATTGCAGAGATTTTCTCCCATCTTAAATTACCTTGGACTGAGAGGGTCATATGGAAGGTGTTAGAATTTCAATATGGCCACCCTTCATGTCTCAATGTATACGCTTTAGGACTGATGAATGCATTCTCTATGGTTAACCTTACCTACATTATGAATTTCATTGCGTACACTATAGCTTCTTGTAGTAGAAAAGATTTAACTTTTATATGCTTTTTTTATAACCATTACCCACCTACAAATAACGGTTACCGCTAACTATGGGTCATTGGGCTCTCTAAAATATGGTCGAGCACAGTGATGGCTGGCTCATCCGTCATACTCGTGAACGAGTGCTGCTTGTAGGGACTGGTCTGCTCTTATCACTACGACTGATTTAATCTTATTGTGTTTTTATATTTGAGCCTAAATAAATTAGTGCTGGTTGGTAGTTTGTATTCATACGTTTCGACTTGTAAAATGTGAACTTACAAGGATTGTTTAAAAGAGCAACACACAAGTTTCTTGCTTATTCTTCTTGTAATGAGACAGCTTTCCGAATAAGCGGTAGATTAAAAAAAATGTTGACTATTCAAAAGTGCTTAAATTAAGTTTATTTGAATAAATGATTTTCTATTCTATTCTATTCTATGGGTAGCGGTAACTATGGTTAAAAGTTGGCGGTAACTGTCGCCCTTATTTCTACTTGAATAACACTGTAGACACCACAATACCATGTGACGCCCGTGATACTATACATGCCATTCGGAATGGCATAAGATATTATGCTCTCATATCCTATAATTTCACTGCCTATTCTGCATTCTACAAATAAAACATATCTTACAAACAAAGCTGATTGGCGGCTGAAATAGGCGAGACTGAAGTGCCCACGCGCCCACACTAACGTTCGTTTATTGACTGGTGGGTTTCTCAGCATGATATGGTCCATTGGCTCGACCTTGGAGGAGGAGTCGCGGCGTCGGCTCGACAACTGGGTGCGGGAGCATGAAGGGGTGTTCCCCCTCAAGGACACCGTATACGATTACTACGTGGACGAGAGGCTGAGGCAGTTCCGACCCTGGGAGGATCGGCTTCCAGACAATTGGAGATTCAACGCCAAGTAAGCTTACAAGCTACAATTTTAATCAATTAAGCTTTGATTTTATTAATTTATTTATGATGTTGCGAGAGCGTCGTGGACTAGTTGTTTAACACAGTGAATTACACTCTAGTGGTAGTGAGGTCACATCTGGCAAACACCAAAAAAAAATTCAGAATTATAAATATTTTATATATAGCACAATTATAATTTAATTTTATACCTATACCTACTCGGTAGGTTTTACAATAGCTTATTATGTATATTTTATACCCCTAAGTGACAAGGTTGGACCACACCAAATATTTTATTTTTCTTCTCAGATTTTTTTCTATATATTACATATAACCCAAAATTTTTACCCCTTTAAATTTTCAACATCAACCCCCATTTTTAATAGACATATGAATTAATATGGCAAAACGTTTGACGGTATAGCTAGTAATTTTATATAATTGTATCAGCCTGGGCTTCCACACGATCCTGGTGCCCACGGTGGAGTTCATCCGCGTTGAGATCATCGCGGTGGACATGCTGCGTGCAGGGTACGGGGTACTGGTGGGCGGGCCCACGGGCACTGGGAAGACATTCCTCATCCAGGGCACGCTGGCCAGCCTCGACTCCACTAGGTGACTACCACTTACAGTTTATTATAATAATACTAATATTCACTACAAGTGGAAGTAGCACGAGCAAAGTCCACATTGCAATCATAGCGCTAAGATTTTGCTACCGTCACCACACGAAAACCAACTGCATAGAGGCATGAGCCAAAATTGGCTCTGAATATTGCCCCTATGTGTGCAAAGACTGTGTTGATGATACTCGTAGCTTTGTCAAAGAGGGTCAATTGAAAACATTGTGGGCCAACTTCTTATTGCGTTACGAATTTTGTGAAAGATAATGTGTTAAAAGGAGAGTAAATCTCAGATATGACGGATGATAGGGATCAGTAGAGGAAGATGACATACTTCGCTCAAATAATGGAATAAAGGCAAGATAATCATGATTAGGAAGAAGGTTACTAAGTTGCAAGAGGGCTGAAGTGATGTAGGTACGTATATTTATTATCAAAATTACCATCACTTCTAGATACAGTACTCAAGTGATCAACATGTCAGCGCAGACGACCGCTGCAAATGTACAGGATATAATTGAGGCTAGACTGGAGAAAAGGACGAAGGGGAACTATGTACCAGCTGGAGGTAAGGTTTAGGAATTATAATTATACCAAGTACCTACGTGTTAGGGTTAGTGCTTACTTCCATTGAACCTTATATCTAATGCTGAGTAAGCACTCGTACGTCGCGACACCCATATCAACCACACCAAACAGACACCAAACCAATATCCATTCCGGCATCCATTCTTATCCGAACAAGCTGATATTTTCACTAATTAGTTTTCGATCTTCATTAATAAAGGTTCTTAATAGTAAACATATCAAGTCTGCTCTCAATCTCTAATAGAACTGTCGCCAAGTTGCATTCTGAAGAGTGAGATATCGCAGTGAACTTCAGCGCGATATCTCACTCTTCAGAAATCAGTTAAGAGATTTGTCATCTTAATACTCAAGGATGGCAAGGCATGTGAAGCTGTCATCTGTCTGTAATTATAATATTTATGGAACAAAATATCCAAACAAATCATTTGCATTTCTGCGCATTAGCTTCCGCATATATCACGGAGAGTATTCTTAGGAATTGTTCGGATTGATACCAGTTGCTGAATTTCATCGCTAGAAACTAAAACACTACCCTGATCATCTGGATAACTGGCATTCCAGTCCTTTTGGAATAACGTGCGTTTTTCCAGAAGCTTTTTGACACGATCGACCATAATGTGGAACCTTCCAGCAATGGTATTTCAAACTGATACGATATTGGAACGTTCAAGAAAGGAGTTTTAAAATACCAGCAACGCACTTTCAATTCCCCTGCTGTTGCTCATGGGCGGCAGTAGTCGCTTACCACGCTCACGTGAGCTGCAAGATCGTTTGTGCCCTATGCTAGAAAAATGTCCGTTGCAGGTAAGAAGATGATTGCGTTCATGGACGACATAAACATGCCGGTGCGCGACAACTACGGCTCGCAGCCACCACTCGAGCTGGTCCGCCTGTGGCACGACTACGGCTATTGGTTCGACCGCGCCAAGCAGTGGCGGAAGAACGTCAAGGTACTTTATATACTTTCGCAACTGAAGGGTGATAGGATAGTTCATCAGTTGCGAAAGTAACTCTGTCTGTCTGTCTCGTTTTCACGCTAAAACTACTGAACGGATTTGAATGAAATAGAGAAAGAGACAACAACATAGGTTTTTCAAAGGTTAACTTTTCCTAATGGCAACGCGCACGTGACACTCCTGATGTTTCAGGCGTCCATAGGCTACGGTAACCATACCTCAGACGGGCCAAATGCTTGATTGAAATCCATACTAATATTATAAATGTCGAATTGTGTTCGTCTGTTTGTAAATTTTCACGGCTACACGGACATAGGCTATTCTTGAAGTTAAGAAAGTCGCTGGTGATAGCTAGTAACCTACAATACGCTTGCGGCATCCAGGATATGGTGCTATGCGCAGCTGCCGGCCCCCCGGGGGGCGCCCGGTCCCCGCTCCCCCCGCGGCTGCTGTCCTGCTTCCACGCGTTCTACCTGACGGCGCCCACGCAGCAGCAGCTTGTCAAAATCTTCGGCACCATGCTTAGTCAGCATCTACAGGAGTTTGATGAGGAGACCAAAACAGTTGGTGAGATTTGGTTACTTTATTTTAGAGTTAAAAGCTGTTATATGTTCAATAGCAGGTTTGATAAACATGTTCTAATATCAGTAGACCGTTTTGTCTATAGGATCGAATACTTTCTTCTTCATTTTGGTTTTTTATTATTGTTTTATTATTCGTGCATTGAATCTTATTAATTTTATTATAAACGCGAAAGTTTGTGAGTATGTATGGATCGATGGATGGTTTGTTACACTTTCAAGCAAAAACTACTGAACGGATTTTGATGAAAATTTACAGTAACATAGCTTATACATCAGAATAACATATAGGCTATATAGTATATTGAAATTTAACGCGGCAGAAACCGCGGGCACAGCTAGTAGGAAATAAAAGTACATATATATATGTTATTTCATAATTTCTGAACGTCCTTGTGAAAATATAAAACACGTGTTTAATTACTCACTCAAACACGTGAGAGACACATATTACAAAAGACTCATTCCTTTCAAAAATATCTTACTCAAAGACAGCTAATAGTTGAGTACCAACAGATAATAGTATTTTTAAAGAATTCTACCCTAAAATGGGGAAAATGAGGGTGATTTTTTGTCGTTAAATACTACATTTTGGAGTATTGCCATCAAATCAATCAATGGTACTAACGTTTTGCCTGACTAATTATATTACATCCACCTTCTGTTGCAGACCATATGTTTGTTTGTCATTTTTTAATTACTTGTATTAATAATGTTTTTTACAAGCCGGTCCGTGGTATTTCAGGTAAAATGATACTTGTAGCCACTATCGACATGTTTAACAATATAGTTGCGAAGTTACTACCGACGCCGAGCAAGATGCACTATCTGTTCAACCTACGCGACATATCTAAGATATTTCAGGTATTTTGTTTATTTATATATGTAATCTGTATTGACGTTAATTTTGAGTTTGTTTAAATAATAATAATCTCAGGACAATTCACACAGCGCCATCTAGACCCAAGTTAAGCTAGCTAAAGCTTGTGTTATGGGTCCTAGACAACTGATACAAATACATAGATAATTTTTTTTTTGGTAAATACATACATATTATACATAGAAGATAACCAGACCGATACAAACAATCATAGTCATGAATACAAATGTTTGTGCCGTGCGAGGAATCGAACCCGCGACTATCGGTCGTAAAGCGGTATGCTAGACCGCTAGACCACCGAGGTCGTCAAAATGTGTTTAACACATTGAAAATCGCATTGAAAAATCTTAATCTTTACATAGAGATATTATTTTTTAAATATGTTTTCAGTGTACATTACATTCAGCTATACATTATTTACCCACTACATTTATTTCAATTCACACTGGTCCCAAAGTGTAAATTTACTTTCGTTGCGGACTGACCCACCGGTGCGTATGCGATCTTTAATTAACGTGTTAAACCGCACGACCATCTGAATCTTTTTAAATTTGAGAATGTACATTACGTTACGACCTTTTTTTACTTGTGATAATCCAACCCGTAGTTGGTACTGGTACTGCCGTACCGATTTGTGCCCTCAAACTGCTATTGGTCGTGTCTCGTTGACATTCAACAGAGAGAACCCCAGCAAACCCTCCCGTGTCAGCTGTTGCCACGAGGATACAAAAATCGTGCAAAAAGAAACGTAGGTGCATTTATATTTTCCTGATGTTTAGCGACGTGATGAGAGACCTGTTCCGACAACCCTACGCTCTGGGGGGAAGGGGATTGTTAGTAATGTGGACTCATGACCCAATACTAGCAATGTACTATGTTAGGTCGGCCTCCACGCGGTTCCCCCTGGAAACCATCGTGAGAAATTCATTGCGAATTTACCACGTTGGGCTAACTGACCTGACCTCATGCTCATCTTGTCATCCTCCACTGGTGCCCCGCCAGCGTAAACCGATAGCGCAGGCGGGTGCACCATTCCATTAACATCCATAAAAATAAAACCCTACGCTCTGAATCAACCAGTAATCTTTCTGATGAGACATAACAGAAGTTATCACAACATATTACGCATTATTAATGAACGTTACCATACTAAGGTCGGATTTCACCAATCGTAGTATAAACACGTTCAAGGAAACGGAGTTCAGCGTGACTCGAAAAAAAGAACGACGTTGATCTCGTTTTACTTTACATGGAATTCACCAACATTATACAGATCGCGTTTACCAAAATGAAGTTTAGATTTCATTCGTTCACAGTGTTACACGCTAATAAAATAATATTTGATGTAATGGGTAATTTAAATAAAATAATTCTAAGAAATATTTGTAATTCAATCATGTGATAATTAGGATAAGTTTTTTAATTTTTAATTTAATAAGTACACGTCGACTACAAAATATAAAACGACAACCTTTACCTATTAACTAGTAAAAAAATATTTTATTGAGGATTTTTTTTACACTACTGGCAATTTTCTTTTTATTCCCGATATTGTATTGTCAAAAATTTGATTGATGACTGTTTGACAACTGACAGCTGCTTTAAATACGTTTAAAGAGTTAACTATAGGATCTCAGACGTACAGAATTTATAAACGTGTTTAGCGAAATTTGTAGTGGTGACACTCACGCTTAAACGTTTTAATGCCGTTCAGTTTGAACTAAACGTGATCAGTTTCTTTGGTGAAATCCGACCTAAATATACTAAACTGATTCCGTCCTGACGCGTCAGGTCATGAGACATCAGAAAATTATAAATTCTCCTTTACGGCTCACCTGATGGTAGCCGTCGCCTATATGCGTGAACAACACTACGAACATTACAGTATCACTTTACACCTCTTGCATAGCCTTACCAGAGGACAAATATGTCACACCTCTTATGCTATAACTTGTTATAGCATAAGAGGTGCAAGCATGCAAGCATGATGAGAGGCAGTTATTTTTTTTTAATTAAACGGCGTTTATTTATTTGTCGGAAATCAAACCCATGACCACGACTACCCCATTTAGATGTGGTGTTATGCTCTATAAATTATAACAATTTCTAAGGGTCTATTGAGGAGTAACAAGGATTACACAAACACAAAGGCGAGATTCCTACGGCTCTGGATACACGAGTGTTTCCGCGTGTTCTGTGATCGACTCACAGAAGAAAAGTAAGAATTTCACATGTTCTCTTATTTACCTGTGTTTTTATTAGTCTATCTATAAATAAAATTGGAGTGTCTGTTTGTAATATTGAATTATTTAATATTTTTTTAAGAAGGGTAATATTAAGGTTTCTTAAGGGTCAGCAACGCGCACGTGATACTCCTGGTGTTTCAGGCGTTCATAGGCTACGGTAACCATTTACCATCAGATGGGCCGTATGCTTGATTGCCATAATCGTAGTATAAAAAAAATATTGAAAACAACCGTTTTTCACTACATGCATATGAACATACCTGACAAAAAAAGTCCGTTAAAATCGGTCCAGCCATAGATGTATAGATAATATACGCTTGTTATATATGCGATGGCGGACCTTATTCATACAGCCTGAGACCGGATGCGGCCCGTGGGCCGTATCTTTGACATGACTCGTATAGATTTTATTATTTTATACAGATCATAAATTTAGGAAGGAAATTACAAAATATTGTACTGATGGCTTGCAGAGACCGGGACTGGTTCATGAACCACATGGGCGAAATGTTGGGCAAACACTTCGAGCTTACATTCCACGCGCTCTGCCCCTCCAAGAGTCCACCACTCTTCGGACACTTCCTCAACCCGTTCGAAGTCTACGACGACCTCAACGATCCCGTTGCATTGAGAAAGTTAGTTGGAATTGATTGTCAGATCTTCATAAACGAGGCAGTTGACCTTAGTCCTTAAAAATTGTGAGGCATATACCGTCTTCACGAGAGGCCTTAGAAATTCTGAAGGACCGTCTGGAGACCAACAACCTGACGGATACGACTTTAGCTGAGGGCACTAGGGGTTCGAATATCAGCTTAGGCCGTCGTTATTTCGATCCCTATCTGAATTGGACGGGGGATTCATCGGAGGTCTACTTTAGTACCCATACTACAAGCTCTGCTTACCTTAGGACTGGATAGCTCAATGACTCAACCCACATTCCGTCGGCCATTCCAAGACTATGAAAAAAACTGATCTTATTCAATTTGCCTTCATTTCATTGCACTTTAGCCATTCCCATAAGTTTCTAAATGAGAGGTTGTCAATAGGTATATTGTCAACCAAATGGAAGAGTACAACAGCTGCCCAGGAGTGGTGAAGATGGACCTGGTCCTGTTCAAGGACGCCATCGAGCACATCTGCCGCATCGTACGGGTCCTCTCGCAGCCACGCGGCAACATGCTCTGTGTGGGCATAGGTAATTTTATTTATTATCCATTCATATTGTTAACTATCGTGTGACGCACCATTAATTAAAAATGGTAAAGTCAATAATCATATAACCTGAAATGGAACGTCAGAGGCCAGAGCCAAAGTAATCTATGTGACATTGACAAGTGGATGACGGATGATTGAACGTAAGCAGCGGGAGTTTTGGAGCGAAAGTGTTTATATTATATAAAAACAAATAAGAGATCGGTAATTGTGAATATTGTAGGCATTGAGGTGTTTCTCTCTCTGACCAACCGGCATTACACCTAAGTCGTCAGGATACTAGTGATTTTAAAAATATTATGTTAGCAAACAACAAAGTTTGTAACTTTGTTAGTAAATTATAATTTACTAGCTATGCCCACGATTTCACCCGTGAAATTTATAGCCTATATGATTTATAGCCTATATTCTGATGTATAAGCCATATCATTGTAAAGTTTTATCAAAATCCGTTGAGTAGTTTCAGCGTGAAAGAGTAACAAACATCCATCCATATTCACAAACTTCTCGTTTACAATATTACGAGTTTTTACCCGCGGCTTCGCTCGCATTGAATACATTAAACATTCCTACTTTCACATTTATAATATTAGGAAGAATTTATAAGTTCATTACTGACTGCTAAATGGCGCTGAAGTAGCAAAATGTTGAATTTTATTTTTTGTTTTTCATAATTTTTGTTTTTATCTTAAATAAAAAAAAATCATGATAATCGGTCAGTAGTTTTTGCGTGAAAGCGTAACAAACATCCCTACATTAAGGATTAAGATTTCATTACTTAAATTTTACTTTTTTGTTTTTTGAGTTTTTTTTTTAAATAAAAAAAAATATTATTACCAGTTCAGGAGTTTTTGCGCGAAAGCATAACAAACATCCCTAAATTATATTAGCAAGGATTAAGATTTCATTACTTCACTATACTCTACTTTCCTCTCCTACCGTCTCCTTCCCCATTCTGTCCTCTCCTTCCTTTCCCATTCTTTACCTATTCAGTTGTATGTAGGAGGTTCCGGACGCCAAAGCTTGACGAGGGTTGCCTCGTACATCTGCGAGTGTAACTCTTTCCAAGTGGTCGTCACCAAGACGTACGGCATCAAGGAGTTTAGAGAAGATCTCAAGGTATGTTCCTTTCTTCTTTTGTAGTTATTTTTTTTTTTATTATTTAAACTCTTTATTGCACCAGACAAAGAAAACATACAAAATGATATAATACATAAACTGATACAAAAGGCGGTCTTATCGCTAAGCAATCTCTTCCAGACTACCAGTAGAGAAAGTAACATTAAGATAAGAAAATATTACGTGCACCACCACGTAATGAACATAAATATACATTTGTACATAAATATATCTATTAATATATATAATAAAATATAAACATACGTAAACATATATATACTTAATAATGCACATATCTTCAGAATATAGTTAATATTCGAAGAAAAGATTCTGTGTTAACTAGAGGACTGAGAGACTGAAGGTCGACCTGATGTGGTACATTGATAGAAATTAGGCCATTGATCCCTATCCCTAACAGTTAGTATGGAAATATTTATTATAGTTATTTTTGAAGCTAGAACTATGAAACTTATTTTTTTGTGTTTGTTGGGTTAGATTATTAAAGATTCCACGCGGACGAAGTTGCGGGCACAGCTTATTATATAGTCTCTTATTAATTGTTTAACCAGTTGTTGTATATTGAATGTTTTTTCTATTTTATTATTTCATTGAATTAGTGCTAATCGGTGGTTTGTATTCACACACTTAAACTTAAATTGTAAGTAAGAATAAATTATTTAAAAGAGCAACACACAAGTTTCTTGCTTGTTCTTCTTGTGATGAGACAGCATTCCGAAAAGCGGTAGATTAAAAAAAAAATGTTATGACTATTAAAAAGTGCTTCAATGTAAGTTTATTTGAATAAATGATTTTCTATTCTATTCTATTCTATATTATAAAACTAGCTGTTCCCACGACTTCGTCCGCGTGGAATTAAACTTTATCTTTCTAAAATAAAAGATTTTTTCTAAAATTAAAGTAGCTTAAGTTCCTCCTTATTACATCACCTCCATGCCAAAAAGTCCCGTCAAAATCGGTCCAGCCATTTCAGAGATTAGCCGGAACAAACAGACAGACAGAGAGACGAAAATAAAAAAAATGTTATTTTGGTGTATGTACCATATTTATAGTCATATGCAAGAAGTAAAAAATGGTTATTTCAGTATTACAAACAGACACTCCAATTTTACTTATATGTATAGATTGGTATAAAGTAAATTAACTTTGATTAGTCTTTGTACACGAGCTGCGGAGTGGACGGCAAGAAGACCACATTCATATTCTGCGATACACAAATCGTAGAAGAAACCTTCACGGAGGTGATCAACAACCTGCTGAGCAGCGGCGAGGTGATCAACCTGTACAAGCCTGATGAATTCGAGGATGTGAGGATTTTAACTATCTTTGCATGATTTACTGCAGAGAGGACCAAGTACCTCTGTACTTACCTCGACGGTCTTGGTAGTCTAGTGGTTGACTTCATAAGGTCGCGGGTTCGATTCCTCGCACGGTTCAAACATTTGTATTCATGAGTATGGGTGTTTGTAATCGGTCTGGATGTTTTTTATATTTATAATAATAATCTCAGGACAATTCACACAGCGCCATCTAGACCCAAGTTAAGCTAGCTAAAGCTTGTGTTATGGGTACTAGTAATAATGTCTGATTTACAAATAAAATATCTATGTATTTATATCAGTTGTCTAGTACCCATAACACAAGCTCTGCTTAACTTGGGACTAGATGGCGCTGTGTTAATTGTCCAGGGTTATTTATTTATTCATCCCGTCAGTTTATATGCCATTCTAAGACTATTAATAGCTGATCTTATTCAGTTTATCTTCTTAAAGTGACGCCGGTCTTTTGAAGAGTAATCGTCTATCATGGTATGGACATGTAATGCGTAGGAATGAAGATAATGTTTTAAGGAAGGTGTTACATATAAATGTGGATGGTTATAAGGGCAGAGGAAGACCGAAAAAGAGATGGATGGACTGTGTGAAAGATGATATGGTAAGAAAGGAAGTAAATAACGGGATGACTACGAACAGGGATGAATGGAAGCGAAAAACATATTACGACGACCACAAATAAATGTGATAAGGAAGAAGCAGATGATTCAGTGTACCTTCATTTCAATGCATTACCTTTCCATAACCTTCTAAATATACGTCTCTCAATACGTATATCCTCTACCTATGGGTTACCTATAGGTAGTTTATGCTTAGCTTGGGACTAGATGACGCTGTGTGAATTTTCCAGGGATATTACTATTGTAGGTTTTGCCATGAGACTACAGGATGGGGTTTTTCAAGAAGGGTATATTAAGGTTTCTTAAGGGTCGGCAACGCGCACGTGGCACCCCTGGTGTTTCAGGCGTTCATAGGCTACGGTAACCGTTTACCATCAGATGGGCCGTGCTTGATTGCCACCATCATAGTATAAAATAAAAAAAAATGTTCACTTATTTGTTATTTAAGTCTTCTTATATCTATTGGTATATAAGTTGTTATCGACGTAAAATCCGCTCGTTAGCCACAACTACACATCTTTACTCCCAGGCAATATCTCCCCTGTAGCGCATCCTGGCCCGTGTACACTCCGCTTTAACAACAGTTAATAAACCGCTAGTGTTACCACATACACTACAATTATTATTATAGACTAGTGACTAGTACTAATTTAACTTTATTTTTCTAAAATAAAAGTAGCCTAAGTTACTCCTATTACATCAGCTACCTGCCAAAAAAAGTCCCGTCTAAATCGGTACAGCCATTTCGAAAATCGATACAGCCAAACAAACGGACAGACAGACAAAAGTTTTAATAAATGTTATTTTGGTGTATGTACCGTATTTATTTTTCCTCGTCTATTTTCTATTATAGACGAGGAAAAATGTTAGGACACTTGACGATGATTTCATGAAAATTATTATTGAGGGGAAAATAGAAGGAAAGAGGTGGAGGGGAAGACCAAGGAATAGCTACATCAAACAAATTGAGGACAAAATGGAAGTCGTGTCGTATCAAGAATTAAAGAGCATTATGGAAGATCGCGGACAGTGGCAAGAGCTCCACCGACAAGAGCGTACCTCTTAAATTATGAATGAATGAGTGAAACCGTATTTATATTTATATGCACGTAGTAAAAAGTGGTAATTTCAATATTACAAACAGACACTAATTTTATTTATGTGTATAGATAAAGCAAGCGCTGGAGAAGCCGATGAAGGCTGCAAACCTGATGCAGACGGCAGAGGCGGTCTACTTGTTCCTCGTGGATCGAGTACGAGCCAACATGCACATTGTTCTCTGCTTCAGTCCCATAGGAGACGAATTTAGGTAATAGCAGTGGAAGTCAAAATAATTATTCATTTAGGTATATTTAATCGAATTAGGAGTTATTCTGCGGAAGTCCATTTCACTACTCGATGGATTTATACTATTTTGTTTAATTCCGCTACACTTAACATGTGTGAGACTACGAATATTCGGTGTGGAAACCTGACCAGCGCTACGACCTTCTCCAGAGGCGATTAAATTCCGACCGTTATTGAGTCTACATCGATATCGCGACACGTGTTTCGCCTCTGAACGAGGCATCATCAGGCGTTAATTAGAGTTCGGGTACAGCTCGGAAGCCTAGTGTTGACTCATCAGTCCTGTCTCAGAAATCCATCAGGAGAATTTATATCGCTTATTTTGTTAATTTTATATCAAGCAACGTTTATTTATATAACGACATTGAGCCATCGTGACAAATTCACTGGGAATTTATGATGATCTTTAGTAGAACGTGCATCTAAAGAAGCACTAGCAGGCTTCTACCAGATTTGGCTGGTATTTGAGAAACACCAGCGGTGAAGGTGAGTGTTGACATACTAAAATGACATACTCGTATTGTAAATAATGTATGTTGGAGCTTCAGCAGCTCCAATAATACAAATGTTGATATGATAAGTACTTTAATTGCTGATTCTTTACAAGAATATAAAATTATGTGTAACTTTGCCGACGTACTATGCACAAGTGGCGGTCGGTTCCGTTCTGATATCGTCGGTGTCTTCCGGACGGTCCCCGCTGATCGTTGCTGCTTCATTAGAGTACCGTGTAATGAACAATTAACCAAAATTGACATCTGTTCTGTTTTGCATGTCAGAAATGACAAAATTCAAAACATCTGTTCTCAAATCATATTTACTGAGCAAGACCTATTACTCACTAAACGATTACTTGAATGACGAGCGTGCATGGCAATAGTTTTCATGTACGGGATTTTCATTTAATGTTAGACATAGACACCTATATAAATACCTATGCATTATAAATAAACTGGATTTTTAAAAAAAAGTATTTCAATTGAGTTTCTTGCCAGTTTTTATCAATTGGATCTATATACCGAACTGGATGGTAGGGAATAAAATATTATTTTCATTTCATTTCATTACGTCAGCAAAAGGGCTCCTTAAACCTTCACCCGGGCCAGACATGAGAACTGCTCGAAGTTCCACACGATGGATTAGACTCCCGCTCAGTGAATCGATGGTATGCTAAGAAATTGATCTCTCTCTCTATCAATTGTCTAGTACTTAACACAAGCTCTGCTTACTTTGAGACTGGATAGTACTGTGTCCAATGTCCAGTCCTATTATTACTAACTCTAACTCTATTAATCTCTAACTCTTTCTGGATTTAGTTTATTTACAGAGTTGTCTTTATGTTATAAATTTTAATTGTGTCCGAACAGGAACCGTATCCGTCAATATCCGGCTCTGATCAACGCGACCACCACGAACTGGTTCCTGGAGTGGCCGCGCGAGGCGCTGCTCGAGGTCGCCTACAAGTTTCTGGACGGCGTTGAGCTGCTAGCGTCTATCACTGGACCCAGGGTACGCTTGTTTGATTCTATTTTTTATATAACTGGAATGGTAAACGATCTGATGTTCCACTTGATGGTAAGCGGCAACAGTAGAATATATACGGAATATCGCTATGGTCATCATGTTTTCGTGTGACGCTCGCGATACTGCCCATGAGTTGCCATTCCGGAGAACTATTTAAGGATTTTGACCTAGGAAAAAATAAAATTGTCAAAGTACCATCGGAGCCTGGATCAATACGATGTGACTGGTGATGTGAGGGTGGTGATATTAGGGCAGTGTTATGAGAGTGGTGATGTGAGGGCGGTGTGGAGAAAGCGGTGATGTGAGCGTGGAGATGATGCGAGAGTGGTGATGTGACGGTAGTAATATAAGGGCGGTGATGCGAGGGCGATGTTACTATGACGGTGATGCGAGGGCAGTGATATGGTGGTGGTGGCGCAGGTGCGTCGCAAGGAGTCTGTGGTGGAGAGCCGCGAGGAGTGCGTGCGCGCGGCGGTGGCGGGCGTGATGTCCGTGATCCACTGGTCGGTACGGCGCTGCTCGCGGCGCATGTGGCGGGAGATGCGCCGCACCAACCACGTCACGCCCACCAACTACCTCGACCTCGTCTCCGGGTACAAGCAGTTAGTGTCCGACTATTGCTATTCATATCTTTACACATCTCTATATAAACTAATTAAGTACGAGTAATTGTGAGTAGCTTTGACGTGGTCTAGGGTTTTGAGTAGTCATGCTCACTAAAATGTCCAGACTTGTGGCGGCGTGGTGGGCCGGGTCATTGGGCTCCCTAAAATATGGTCGAGCGCAGTGATGGCTGGCTCATCCGTCATACTCGTGAACGGGTGCTGCTTGTAGGGACTGGTCTGCTCTAATCACTATGACTGATTTCCTCTTATTAATTGTTTAACCAGTTGGTTATGTATTCAATATTTTTTCTTTTTGAGTATTTAATTGAATTAGTGCTAATTGGTGGTTTGTATTCACACACTTAAACTTAAAAATGTAAAGTAATAATAAAATTATTTAAAAGAGCAACACGCAAGTTTCTTGCTCGTTCTTCTTGTGATGAGACAGCTTTCCGAACGAGCGGTAGATTAAATAAAAAATGTAATGACTATTCAAAAGTGCTTCAATGTAAGTTTATTTGAATAAATGATTTTCTATTCTATTTTCTATTCTATTCTTCTGTGGCGTGCCATTTATAAAGTAACTGGATCCACTTTGACGGAACTATTATTTTGACCAGCAGTAATTTATGCTACTTATATTTTAGAATATTTAATAAAAGTTAAAGACATGGGTAACAGTCATAGGTAATCTTTATATATGTTAAAGTCTTCACAAGGCGAAAACTGTTTGTATGTTCGTGTACAAAATGTTCACGTAGAAATGGGTTGAGTTATTTGATTACCATTTTCACAGAATATGTTATTAAGTACGTATATAAATGAACTTACTTAAAAATTTTAATTGTATTGCAGGATGCTAAAAACGAAAAGAATTGAGATAGGTCTGCAAGCGAATAAACTACGCAATGGTCTCGGCAAAGTGAAGGAGACGACCAAGTTAGTGGGACAGATGTCTGAGGAGTTAGCGATCGCGAAGGTATGTTTTTTTTTAAGATGGTAAAGGAATGGTGCACCCTGCGCTAACGGTTTACGCGGGGCACCAGTGGAGGATGATATGAGGTCAAGATGATCAGGTCAGTTAGCCCATTGTGACAAATTCATCAGGAATTTAAATAAAAAAAAAAGTTGTGATTTGACGTTAATAGCTTGATAATTTGGACGTTAATTTTTTATTTATAAATTCAAAACGAAAAAAAGGTAAAGTAAAGTAAACGCACGATAAAAGGCGAGCACGTGCTTATTCGTTATTTTCTTGATGTAAAGATAAATTTCTTTATCTTTACAAGCATGCTTTTTCCCTGCGTTAAAAGCATTTCACGCGTGAAAGGGCGTTCTTGTAAAGCTATTGAGCGCGTAATTTAGAAATTTATAGGTACAAGTGGCAGAGCCTTCTTGTAAAGCTATTTTAAGAGCGCGTAATTTCCAAATTCATAGGTACAAGTGGCAGAATACACGGAACAGTGCATCGAATATATGGGAGTGATCAATGTACAACAACGCAATGCTGACGAGCAGCAGCGCAGCGTCGCCGCCCGGAGCAAGAAGACGATGGACGAGGAGGTGCAGTGCAAGAAGCTCGCAGACGCAGCCATGAGGGACCTCGCCAGCGCTATGCCCGCTCTAGATGAAGCTGTCAAGGTCAGATTATTTGAAGAAGATACGCTAACAGTGCATTCAATAAAAAAAAATTATCTCTAATTCAACCCTCTTATAACCCTCTTTCACATTAACAAGCAAAGTATGTCCTTTCTCAGGGTCTGGATTATCTGTGTAGCAAATTTTATTTAAATCGGTTCAGTAGTTTTGGAGTGAAAGCGTGACAGATAGAGTTACTTTCGCATAATAAAGATTGTGTATACCTATAAGCACTGTAGTCTGCAAATTAATGATTTGATTTGATACTTAATTATTTCAGGCGCTGGATGCTTTGAATAAGAAGGATATAACAGAAGTAAAGTCGTACGCGAAGCCGCCACAAAAGGTCGAAATGGTGTTAGAAGCTGTACTCATACTGCTGCAAGTAAGCCTCATCACAATCGTTAAAGCCTTCACATAAAACACATCCCTTAAAGTAAAATATGCGAGAATCGAAGTCACAAAACTTGGATGCGAGCAGGTGTTTTAGATTGCTACACAACCGAAGTTGATATCTAGTTCGATTGTGTATATAGATCATTAATAAAAATATTTGCAATAATCATCTGCTTCTTCCTTATCCCATTTATTTGGGGTCGGCGTAATATGTTTTTCTCTTCCATTCATCCCTGTTCGCAGTCATCTCGTTACTTACTTCCTTTCTTACCATATCATCTTTCACACAGTCCATCCATCTCTTTTTCGGCCTTCCTCTGCCCTTATAACCATCCACATTCATATGTAACACCTTCCTTAAAATATTATCCTCATTCCTACGCATTACATGTCCATACCATGATAGACGATTACCTTTAACTTATTAGAAAAAATCACACAGCGTCATCGATGAGCACAGCTTGTGTTATGGGTACTAGACAACTGATATACGTAGATATATTTTTTTGTAAATACATACAGATTATATATAAAAAAGATGTAGACCGACATAAATAATGTTCAAAACTCATGAATACAAAATGTTTGTACTGTGCGAGGAATCGAATTCGCGATAGAAGTAAGACTAAACCGTTAGACGAGCTCTCTGAGCGCAATAAAGAGTTTATATTATTTTTATGAATTGCCATAAAGAAAGAGCCAACATGGGCCGAAGCGAAGCGTCAGCTCGGCGACCAGTACTTCCTGGACCGACTGCGCGACTTCGACAAGGACAACATATCTGACAAGACGCTGAAGAAGATTGGCACGTACACCTCCAAGCCGGACTTCGACCCTGAGATCGTGGGTACTGTTTCCTCTGCTGCCAAGTCGCTGTGCCTGTGGGTGAGAGCTATTGAGAAGTACGGGAAGGTCTTTAAGTAAGTCTGCATGTATTACTTGTCAGTCTAACAATCTACTTTGTCAGTTTTTACTAAAACTGTTTCAGATCTAATATTTCCATATAAAACACGATTATCATCGTTATTATAACGTAGTGTGCTTTTTTTTTATATATTTTTCATGACGTCTATCTTATTTAAGGCATACCAACTGACATACAATATTACATGCCTTTGCACGTACACTCCTTTACGCGCGAATCGCCTTTCACGCTGGAATCCATATGCGTGTAAATGTAGTTGTAAGTTGTCTTTACACGTACCCTCTTTCACGCGCGAATCGGTTTTCACGCAGGAAAGAGTGTGCGCTTTATCGTCTTTTTTGTATTAATTAATTATCCTTGCCAAATGGCGGACATATGATTATGTAAAAAAAATATAATTTTAAAGTTATTGGTAATTTATAAATCTTAAACGTGTCTTGGGGAAATGAAATAGGTTAATCAGAAATATAATTTTAAAAGACAGTTAAATGACAAAACATGCGCGATAGAGTGGCTGGCTTTGTCTCGCGTGATCCTGATCCTGTCGTGAAAGGTAATTGACGTTATAGTTTGCAACTACAATTACATAAAAAAGAGAACAAAACAGTTCAAGATTTACGAAAAGTTTATATACTAAATAAAAATCATATGAGCTATTTTATTCAGAATTGTAAAACCCAAGAAGGAGCGTCTAGAAGAAGCATTAGAGTCTCTTCGAATGAAGCAGCAGATTTTGGCGGAGGCGCGCGCCAAGTTGCGGGAGCTGAGCGAGATGATCGCACGGCTGCAGAAGGAGTACGATGAAAAGGTGGCGCAGAAGGAGGAGTTGGAGCGGAAGTCACGGATGCTGCAGCTCAAGCTGGAGAGGGCTGAGGCCCTCATCACTGGCCTCTCGGGTACGATTTGGAGTTTTTGGCGATTATATCGTACAATCTTTAGATTGTTAGTTAAATATCCTGTGCGGAAACTGACTACCGTTACTGGAAGCAGTACAAATTTCTCAAAATGTAAAGTTCTTCTCTGATTACTAATGCTAACAGAATTAAACAGAAGTGTCCACCTATAAAGTATAAAAGAATAACAAAGAGTTCCAGTTCCTTTGTCCAGTTCAATAAATTGGACGGTAGGAAAATAATATTAATACAAACTGATTAGAATGTCCTATGTAATAATATAGAATAAATGATTTTTCATTTCATTTAATAATTGATGTGACCGTAAAATATTTTGGTTTAACAATAAATTCTTAAAATATCAAATTTTGCATATGTAATTAGGCTATATTATATTCAGCTTGAGGGATTACTTCAAAATTGTGATTTGCAAAAAGGAAATTATGTTGTTTGGTGTAGGGGAGCGGGAGCGGTGGGAGTCGACAGTGGAGCGTCTGGACGGCGAGTTCGAACGGCTGCCGGGCGACTGCCTGGTGGCCACCGGGTTCGTGGCCTACCTCGGGCCCTTCGTCTCCGAGTACAGGGAGGCGCTCATGAACGACTGGTACATGGAGGTCAGAAGTGTCCTGCCTTATTAGATTAGCTGCCTTTAGACGTACGCTCATTCAGGCAGGCATCGGTTTTCATGGAGGAAACAATGTGACAAAAAATAACGAGTCAGACCAAAGAACCGTATAACAGCGTTCTTGAATCGTGCGTAACTTAGCGCCTTTTTGTAATAATTATTCCAAAATGGCGGACATCTGACTATTGAGGAAAGATATAATTTTATAGATTTGTTAATTGTGTTTCAATTCGAAAAAAATTATATATTTTTTTAAACACATTTAAAATAAAAAATAGGGGTTGATGGCAGCAATGCAAAAATGTAAGGTTGTATGTATTTTTTAATGCTGAATCATAAAAAACACAATAACCCCCATTGTTTTACCGGGACCGCCCTTATCGCTTTCGGTGTATGAAAAATAGTTCACGTTCTCTCAGACCTGATTAAAGACAAAATTTCAGAAGCATCGATCAAGCCGTTTCGAAGAAAATTTATGTACAAACAAGCATTACAATTTTTCAAGGAATAACCTTAGCGTTAAAATGACGTATTTTAATGAACAGGTATTTAATGAAGCCGTACCCGTGACCATGGATCTGAGCATGAAGTACTTCTTACTTGACGACGCCACGTTACGGGATTGGAACTACATGGGCCTGCCGGGTAATATATATGGATCACTAGTATGCACGCGCAACTTCCTCTGCATCATACTTGTGGAACACAAGCCACTTATTTAGTTTATAACCTACTTTATATCCTTTATATTTCGAATACCAAAATTCTATTCTAAATTGTCACCTGCTATCTATTGTTCCTTTTCGGTTTCCCTTCCAGGCCCTAGTTAGGAGTGTTTCTTTATAATATACTCTTATAACAATATATACAATATATTTATATCCTACAATTCCCTGGTTTCCTTTATCGCCCACAATACTTACTTGACATTTATTATTATACTTCGCCCAATTTACATAATATCTTTTTAAATTATAGTCTATGTATTATTGTAATGTATAACATAAAATTTCATTGGAATTCGTTCAGTAGTTTTTGCGTGAAAGAGTAACAAAGATTCATACTCACAAACTTTCGCTATAAGATTTACACTCTGCTATTTGCTGCCTTTACACGCGTGTTCTTTCGCGCGAATCAAATTTCACATGGGAAAGATTGTGCATCTAAATGTAAACAAAAGTCATATATTAAAAAAAAACTTTTAAAAAGTTTTAAATATATTCTTATAGGTGAATAAATATATCTTTCTAACAGTGAAAGTATTAAAAAAAATCCTATCAGCACAACTGGACCTATTATCTATTACTCTGAACAAACAAACATACAAACTTTACCTCAATAATATTACTATAGATTTTTATTATAATTTAATAGATGACAACTTCAGTGCTGAAAATGGCATAATAGTGGTACGAGCGACGCGGTGGCCGCTGGCCGTGGACCCTCAGGGACAGGCTCTCATATGGATCTCGAGGCTCGAGGAGAAGAACGACATACAGGTACACTATATAGCAACACTTTGTACAAAACCCCTGTATGTCTCACCCACTTTAGCAGTTTATAAGCGGTTTTTTCGGTTAAAGGGTGAGACATGGCCGTGAATGTATGGTAGAAATATTCAATCCGAATGTATAATACAACTAGCTGTCCCGGCAAACGTTTTGCCATATAAATTAATAACGCTATAAAAAAATAGGGGTTGATGATAGAAGGGTGAAAATTTAGGTTTGTATGTATTTTTGTATCATAAAAAAATAGAAACTAAAAATTTTGTCTAAAAAATAAAAAAATAAAATTTAGGGGTGGACTACCCCTAACATTTAGAGGGATGAAAAATAGATGTTGGCCGATTCTCAGACCTACTCAATACGCTCACAAAATTTCATGAGAATCGGTCAAGCCGTTTCGGAGGAGTATATAGTACTTAGAAGAACTGGCAAGAAATTGAACTAAATTGCTTGTTTTTTTTTTAAACAAAAGGCAGTTTATTTACAATGTATATTTATATAGGTGTCTATATCTAACATTAAATGAAAATCCCATGCATGAACAACTATTGTCATGGACGCTCGTCATTCATGTAATCGTTTCGTGATTAATAGACTTATAATGAAAGTATTCCTCATGGGACAGATCGTAGACTTCGGTCAACCCAACTACCTGAAGATAATGGAAGTTGCCCTAACTGATGGCAAGCCCATCATCATTCAGAACGTGGGCGAGATGCTCGATCCGTCGATCGCTCCGATCCTCGACAAAGCGATCGTCAAGATCGGAAACTCCCTGATGATCAAGTTCAACGAGAAGATGGTACCTTACAACGAGACATTCAGGATGTATCTCACAACTAAATTAGGTCTGTAGACAACGTCATCTAACTAACATAATTAAGTAACTTTCAGAGGTGTTCTGTTTTTTTGTGTATAACATGGGAATTGTTAGAATTCTAATGTGATTTATTAGTCTAAATATATATAACTCAAAGGTGACTGACTGACATAGTGATCTATCAACGCACAGCCCAAACCACCGGACGGATCGGGCTGAAATTTGGCATGCAGATAGATGTTATGACGTAGGCATCCGCTAAGAAATGATTTTGATTAATTTTACCCCCAAGGGGATGAAATAGGGGATGAAAGTTTTTATGAAACTTTGTCAATATTAAACCGATCGGTCTGAGACTTTGCATGCATAAAGCTACTATGACGTAGCATCCCCTAAGAAAGATTTTGATAAATTCCACCCCTAAGGGATAAATTAACGCGAGCGAAGTCGCGGACAAAAGCTAGTCTATACATATAAACAAAATCCGACTGTCTATTTGTAATATTGAAATAATCGTTTTTTACTACGTGCATATGAATATAAATACAGTACATACACCAAAATAACATTTTTTATAATTTTTGTCTGTCTGTTTGTTATTTGTCTCTGAAACGGCTGGACCGATTTTAACAGGACTTTTTTTGGCAGGTAGCTGATGTAATGAGAGGTAACTTAGGCTACTTTTATTTTAGAAAAACAAAGATAAATTACACACGGACAAAGTCGTGGGAACAGCTAGTTTATTAATAAAACTAAAAACTTACAAATTCAAGCAAAGAATTTTATAAGCTCTCATTTTATAACAAATCGTATATAAATGACGGTCCAGGTTGTCTAGCGATTTTGCATACCGCCTTCATCATTTCAGCCCGGAAGACGTCCACTGTTGAACTGTTGAAGGCCACCACCAAAGATATTCACCGCCTTACACCACCTCCACCAAAGATACACACTCCCATAAATCGTGTTTGTAAAAACATTCAAAATAGTAACGAATAGTTTAGCTATTAGTGATAGAGTAAGGCGGTGGATATCTTTGGTGGGGAAAGAGTTTATAGAGTTATGGGAGTGTTTAGAGAAATATGAGGCGTCTGGGAATTTGACCAGCTCTCCAAAGCACAGACCTTACTGTGTATAAAGGCATTACTCCATAGTATAATGGTACAATAATAATTGCCATAGGAAACCCGGTGTACACCCCTGAAACGCTGACGAAGACCACGATGGTGAACTTCGCGGTGAAGGAACAGGGCCTCACCTCGCAGCTGCTCGGCATCGTGGTCCGCAAGGAGCGACCACAACTCGAGCAGATGAAGGATAACCTCGTGATGACCATCGCCAATAATAAGAAAATTCTCGTGAGTGTCTACATTCATGTACACCCAACCAACCAACTCAATATTGCCGGTTAATCTAGTCTAGCGGAAGTAAGGAAAAAAGTGATAAGGCGATGTGCCTTACTTCTATTTGTTTCTTCCGATTTGAGTGTGATTGGTCTGGGCATTTTCTATGCCTATTATGTATGTATTCGTAATATGCATAGAAAGATATTTTTTATACATATTTTAAGAAAGGTGTTACAAATGAATGTGGATGGTTATAAGGGCAGAGGAAGGCCGAAAAAAAGATGGATGGACTGTGTGAAAGATGATATGGTAAGAAAGGAAGTAAATAACGCGATGACTGCGAACAGGGATGAATGGAAGCGAAAAACATATTACGCCGACCCTAAATAAATGGGATAAGGAAGAAGCAGATGATGATGATATGTATGTGTATTCGTAATACCATTTTAAAGTATTTCTATGCATCCCTTCTGTCGTATGGGTATTTGATGTAATGAAGATAATATTTTAAGGAAGGTGTTACACATGAATGTGGATGGTTATAAGGGTAGAGGAAGGCCGAAAAAGAGATGGATGGACTGTGTGAAAGATGATATGGTAAGAAAGGAAGTAAATAACGAGATGACTGCGAACTGGAATGAATGGAAGTATAGAATAGAATAGAAAATAATTTAATCAAATAAACCTAATTTAAGCACTTTTGAATAATAACAATTTGTTTTTTATCTACCATTCGTTCGGAATGCGGTCTCATCACAAGAACGAGCAAGAAACTTGTGTGTTGCTCTTTAAAATAATCCTTGTAAGTTTTTACATTTACAAATCAAAACGTGTGAATACAAACTACCAACCAGCACAATTTTTTTTTGGTATAATATCAAATAAATATATATAATAATATTAAATCAATCGTAGTGATAAGAGCAGACCAGTCCCTACATGCAGCTCTCGTTCACGAGTATGACGGATGAGTCGGCCATCACTGTGCTCGACCATATTTTAGGGAGCCCAACGACCCGGCCCACCACGCCGCCACATGTCTGGACATTTTAGTGAGCATGACTATTCATTCCACTCGACTTCGTCATAGCTACTTATTTAAACTTATTATATGGTAGTTATAGTATTCGCACTTTACATGAGGATGCATGCGGCAAACACTACAAAAGCCGCTACGCTATCCTATATCAAAAAAGCAGTATGAAAAAGAAATTATAACGTTGTCCGCTAAAAAAAATATTCTTGCTAGATATTGCTGTCATCTATGAATTCATCTCTCCTATAATAGGCTTTTTTACATAACATTTGTTTAATATAAATTTTGAATTCCCTCTCTGTCAGATTTTGCGTAGGTTCTGGCAGTTTATTGTAAAATCTTACGCAATTACCATAGAATGAATTATATGTAAGAGAACCATGTAACAGAAATCACTCCGTAAATCCAAATTGACTAACTTTGTCTCTTTATAATACTAGTATACATTTATGATGATGAAGTTAAATTATAAAATATAGTTGTAATGTAGACTGTACAAAATCATCTGCAGTCTTATCTATGTCAGCCACCAAGTTGCTTGCTTTGTTATATGTATTCTGGTTTAAGGACCAGACTATGAAGTGAAATTACAGAGGTATAATGTAACAATAATAACTGTTCAAAATCTACCCTGTACCATCGTAAGCACAGATTAAGAGTCCGTTAGTTTTCTGTTCCCGCGCTTTCCCTGCCCCTCCCTTACCTAGTACTGAACTGAACGTACAGCGGCCTTGACGCGCGCGCGCATTTGTTGTGAATTAAAATAAATTAGAACTGTGAAACCTACTGTGAAACTGGAAAGCTAGCGAAGATACCTTCGATACCCTGAAGCCCAAGAAATCCGCAGAACCATACAGGTACGTGACAGACATAGTAAATTCCCTAACATTTTGGTAGTAGAGAGTAGTTTCCCAAACAATAACCTTTTATTTCAGGTGGATTTAGAGAACGACCTCCTCCGTATAATGTACGAATCGCAAGTGCCTCTGCTGGAGAACGAGGAGCTGTTCATCACGCTGCAGACCTCGCAGCGGACCTCTCTGGAAGTGAAGGAGGCTCTCATCACATCGCAGGTCACGGAGAAGGAGATAGATACCGCCAGACAGGTCAGTTTTTATATCACCTAATATTATTAGTACTATTAATATTATATTACTACTAGCTAACTCTTAACTTGTTTTGGCATATAAATTAAAATCGCTATTAAAAAATAAGGGTTGATGGATGGAACCCTTCTAGGTTATAATTTGGGGTTGTATGTTTTTAAATGCCACGTTATAAAAAAGTATTAGGGGTGAAAAACCCTTATCACTTAGGGGTAAGACATTTACATGCACATTCACACCTATTTTGGTGTCTGGGTATACAATGGACAACATATGAATGTGGATGGTTATAAGGGCAGAGGAAGACTGAAAAAGAGATGGATGGACTGTGTGAAAGATGATATGGTAAGAAAGGAAGTAAATAACGCGATGACTGCGAACAGGGATGAATGGAAGAGAAAAACATATTACGACGATCACAAATAAATGGGATAAGGAAGAAGCAGATAATTGTATACAACGGACGACAAAGGCATGTGACAAAACTAATTAGATAGCTATGGTCAGGGCTACGTGCCGGTGGCGGTGCGCGCGTCGGTGTTGTTCTTCGCGCTGAACGACCTATCACGGATTGACCCCATGTACCAGTTCTCACTGGATGCCTACATCGACCTGTTCACGTACTCCATCGACCGCAGCCCCAAGGCCACCGAGCTGGAGGAGAGGATCATCAATCTTAATGAGTTCCACACATACGCCGTTTACAAGTACGTATATTAGAATGGGAGAATAGACAATATGATAAACCTGAATCAGTGTTCGTTATCCCCTCGGATCGATCCCCTGTCCAATTCAAACGGGGATCGCAATTATGACGGCCTGAGCCGTGGTTCGAACCCCTAGCGGCGTCCTCAGACTAAAGTCGTATACGTCAGGCAGGAGTTGGCCTTCAGCCGATACATAAGTCCTTCCGCGGGTTTGGAGTGCCATCTGCACTCGCCCCCTATCGGCCGGTGAAGCTGTAATAGCTAGCTGCGGCCAACAGCATTAGAGTAGTCCAAAAAAAAAATGAATCACGTCCAGTAGTCATCGGGTCGAGCCGGCATCGCAGTAATTCCTTGGTTTCAGAAACACATGCCGAGCGTTATTCGAGCGTCACAAACTGCTACTCTCATTTCACATCGTGTCCCGGATACTATTCCAAATGGGCAAGATGAGCATGCACGAGTACCTGTTCCTGCTAAAGGGCGGAATCGTACTGGACCGCTCAGAACAACCCGACAATCCTACCAGTTTGTTGATGAATAAATTTCTAGTACATGAACTGATATAGAATTCTGATAGACAAAGCATCTAAACATTAAATATTTGTCACGCTTTGACTTATTGAGCTGTAAATTGACCTTCCACTAACAGATAGCTAATGTTATTGTATTTATTTGAATAAAAACAGTTAAATTACAACAGGTAGTATTACTTAAGAACGTTGTAAATTACATAACCTCTAAATTGGTTACTTTATAGTTATTTATTATAAGGTGAATACCATTTTTCATTTGATTTTTTATAAGTGGTGTATATCGGTATAAATAATGACTACAGACTGGATGCCAGACGAGTGTTGGGACAATATTACGGAACTAGACAAGCTACCCGGTTTCCACGGGGTCGTGGATTCCTTCGAGACCTTCTCCAAGGAGTGGAAGGAGTGGTACCTCCACCCGGAGCCCGAACTGCAGCCCCTCATTGGTTAGATATGAAATTTTTTTTATATCCCACAGTCTTTAGTTGTTCCATAGGTGTTGCATCATCATTGTAAAATGACAAAGCAAACAGATTTAATATTATAGTTTATGAGGTCTAATTTTATAAAAAAAAAAATGTTTGTCACTCCTCCTCCTCCTCCTTAACCCCTCCTTGGAACCGCATCAGACTTTCACAAAGCTTCATAACATAACTATCTTTTCAATTTTAGAAGTTATCACCGAGGGGAAATGATTGACGTAATTAAACTCAGGCTCTGGGACTATATGCCCTTATCCTGTCGAGGGTCTGTCTGTTGTACATGGGTAGCGTTCCCCGCAGGCGAGTGGAACGAGATCTGCAACGAGTTCCAGAAGATACTGTTGGTGCGGTCGCTGCGCGTGGACCGCGTGTCTGCGTGCGTCACCAGCTTCATCGTGAGTGTGCTCGGCCCGCGGTACGTCGAGCCTCCCGTGCTTGACATCAAGGTGAACTTACTACCTATGTATATTGTTGATGACCTCGGTGGTCGCGTGTTGGATTCTTCGCACGCGCAAACCTTTCTATTTATGCTACTCCGCTAGATCATAGGCCCATAAATGTTGTAATGAGAATGTAACAATGTTGAGCATATGATAATAAATAACCATTGGGCATCAGAGCAGGATGATAAAATGGGCATAAAGTCAGATCAGTTAGCCCATCGTGGCCAACTCACCAGGAATTTAACATGATGGTTTCCAGAGGAACGAGGAGGCCAACTGCAATGGGGTAATGGGGTTATTAGTCCACAATGTAAGCAGTTCCGTTCCCTCTAAACTAGTGAGACGGAAAGGGACTAATTAAAATTTTCTTGGAAGTTCAAGTGAAAATATTTAGGACATCTCAGAACAATTCACATAACACCATCTACTGGTACTGGACAACTAATATAATTTATTTAGGGTATTCCACAGCACTAACAATCTTCTTCTTCTCCTATAAGGGTGTAATTATGATATCTGTGGTATGAATGCAGGCGGCATGGGAGGAATCGACGTGGAAGACTTCTCTACTGTTCGTGCTGTCGCCTGGCGTAGACCCTACTGCGGCTCTCATCCAGCTTGCCACCGACGTCAGGATGTTCGACAAGTTCCACTCGCTCAGCCTCGGGCAGGGTCAAGCGCCCACAGCTGCCAGGTACAACGGGCTGATGGCTTGCTTGATGACACCTGCCGAATATCCTCTATTCACATTTTTTTATACCACCATAGTGGCAATCATGCAGATATAGACCGTACTGTAACCGTTTACCATCAGATGGATCGTAACCCATCGGTTGGTAAACGATTACAGAGGCCTGTGGACGCCTGGAACACCAGGGGTGCTACGTGCGCGTTGCCAATCCTTAAGAAACCTTAAAATACATTATGTCGCTTAGGAACCATCCATTACTTACGTGAGGTTCCAAAGGTCCTCCCCACATTTTGGGTTTAAAATAAATCTAATAAAGTATCATAAGGGTGGAAGGGGCTGTAGTAAGACATCACATATTCTTATGTTTTGTCAAACTTGTGATTTTTAAACTAAAAGGTTGATATTTTACCAAAGAAAGGAAATTTCAAAGACTGGAACTTTTCTCTGTAAAGGATGCTGGCGAATGGCATGAAGGAGGGCGGATGGGTCTTCTTAGCGAACTGCCACTTGGCGTGCGAGTGGCTTGGCTCGCTGCGTGGTCTCGACAACCCCAAGATCCACCCAAGGTTTAGACTGTGGCTGTCCTCCATGCCCGATGACAAGTTTCCTCTCAATGTTCTCCAGAGAAGCATTAAGATGACCACAGAACCTCCACAGGTAATAATATTTTTCCAAGATTTTCTTGAAAATTAGATATTAATATGTACAATATATTAATACCCAATTGTATATATTGTACCCAATACATAATATGTGGTCATATGACTGCCAATAAAGTCAAACATGTGGCAGCGTGGTTGCGTTCTCTAAAACATTGTCAAACTCAGTGATAGCTCCGTCATACTCTTGAACAAGTATTGCTTGTAGAGACTAGTCTGTTCTAGTCGCTATAACTGATTCACTCTTATTTAGTTACTCATTGACTGCATGAATTAGTGGTATTTGGTAGTTTGTATACACATACTGTGACACATCATTACACTTACTTTACTGTGTATTACCATTGGTCAGGGCTTGAAAGGCAATCTGCTCAGAATTTTCGCAAATATTAACGAGGATAAGTTCGACGAAGCGACGCCCAAATACCGGAGACTCCTGTTCTGCGTGTCGTTCTTCCACTGCACGCTCATCGCCCGTAAACGGTTCCGACAGCTCGGTTACAATGCCGTCTACAGCTTCAACGATGCTGATTTTGACGTGAGTATACCATGCAAGTGAAATACCAGCGAATGAAAACGCAGAAATATTAGTTTTGTTAAATAGTTTTGCCTATGGCATATGTACAATTTGCATAAAAGTTAGTCAGTGTTTGTTAGTAGAATAATCGTGAATATTTTAAATATTAATTATTTATTATCACTTATAAGTAGCAACCGTCGCCTGTACATAAATCATAGACATCTCAACGTCATATGACGTTATTGTATTCACACGCAATCAGGAGCGCACCAGATTTAGAAGACACGTTTAAGATTTCTACATTATCAAGAACTCTATAATGATGTATTTGCTCTATTGTAACGTATTAGCCAATTTGCAATAATAATTATTTATATAACAAAAAGGTGCTAAAGCACGCACGCTTGATGATGCTAGAATACACGTGCTGACGGTGGGTGCAATCTTTCACGTTCATTTAGTATATAATTTCTCATTCTTTCCTGTGTGTAAGAGCGTAGATGTTAAGGCAGCTAATGCTTTTCCTTTCCTGAAACATATCATGTCTCGGTACCCTGTAATCTTGCAGGTTTCAGACAACTTGCTAGCGAATTATCTAGAAGAATACGAGGAGGTACCGTGGGACGCGCTGCGTTACTTGTTCGCTATCATCAATTACGGCGGTCACATCACCGATGATTGGGACAAGCGCGTGCTCATCGCTTACATTAACCAGTTCTTCTGCGAGGAGGCCTATGATACGCCTTTTTACAGGTGATCCTAATTTTGATTATGGGTTATGGTTAAATTAATGGCTTTTCATTGATGAGTTTCCTTCTTTCAATTTAGTCATCAAATAGTTGGAGCCTTAGAATGTAAATGAATTGTGGGTATATATTTATGTCATTGGAATGTCAAACAAGATGGCCTATCAGATGGATAATCATCGCCTATATATATATGAACAGCACCGCCTACATCATCATGGACAGCATCATACTACTCCTACATTGCTATTCCAGAAAAATAAGATTTCCCATGTATGAGGCATTCTAGTTTTCTTAGTGTTTCGTTTTTAGGATGCATCCTACAACCGAAACACGCCTCTCAAAGCAAGCTGTTTGGCGGGGGAAATAGGTGACACTTACGTGTTCAGTGTTGCGGTATTTATTATGTCGTCAGTCTCTGTCTACTGTATTACAGATTTGGTTTTATTATAATCTTGAGTCTACAATGTGTTCTCATATACAGTAAGAAACATTTGGACCAAAATTCTACAGACTGTCTTAAAGAGGAGCGAATCTGTACTTTGTAGATACAAGTACCTCCCGTGAGGCTCTTATAGTTATTTCTGTTGGTAACCTTCAATAATTTGGTGGAGTGTCATGGTAATTGCCTAATTATATTCTGGGAATATAATTAGGCAATAAGTTGACAAGGGAAAGTTTAGTTAAAATGTTGGTGTGGTAACTAAAGCGGGCCGACGCCGCCATAGTCGCGGTGGACTGACACTTGATCCCGCGACTCTGGCAATAGGCGCTACGTAGTACCTTGGTATGGTTTTTAGTGAGTAGAAGTCTCATAATACCCGCTTGTCTCCTCGGGGTGGGCGAGTTTCCTTGAGGGATGTTCTCCAAGTAAAAATAAAAAGATGTGTATGGGGTGCGCAGGCTGTCGTCGCTGGCCGCGTACCAGATGCCGCGTGACGGCAGCCTGCAGGCCTACCGCGACTTCCTCGCGCTGCTGCCGGCCAGCGAGCGCGCGCAGTCAGTCGGCCAGCACGCCTCCGCCGACGTCGCCACGCTCGCGCAGGTACATACAACAGCCACACAAACACATTTTACAAAACAGTATCATTTTAAAAGCAGAAACTAATACATATAGTAACTTCTGCTTTTCAACGATGACGACGTCGGTGGTCTAGCGGTCTAGCACACCGCTTTACGTCGGATGGTAGCGGATTCGATTCCTCGCACGGCACAAACATTTGTATTTATGAGTATGATTGTTTGTGTCGGTCTGGGTGTTTTCTATGTATGATTTACGAAAAAAAAAGAATTATCTAAGTATTTGTATGCCGCAGCTGACCCAACGAAAGAGGATTATTGAACTACCGACCTCAGTATTTATAAACCCAAGTCAGTGTAGTAGGTCGGTCTATACATACTAGATGGCGCTGTGTACAATATTTGTAATAATCTTTACATTGAGTACTATTTAGTACTAATTACTAAACACAAACTATCTTTTTTTAATTTCTTTTTAAAATATTGGATTTTTTCTACAATATTGATGTGAAATCTAACACATGTAACAAAATCAACATAATTTTAGGATGCAATGATTATGTGCTCTACATTATTTGCTTTGGCGTCCACGGGAGGTGGCGGTGGCGGTGGTGGTGAAGACCAGAAGGTAATACTACTCTCTATTAGATGACTTCGAAAATCTTAGTAACTATACATCTATACATGTAAATAAAATTGGAGTGTCTGTTTGTAATATTGAGATTACCGTTTTTTACTAGATGCATATGAATATAAATACGGTGCATACACCAAATTATCATTTTTCTTTTGTCTGTTTGTTCCGGCTAATCTCTGAAATGGCTTTACCGATTTTGACGAAACTTTTATTGGCAGGTAGCTGATAAAATAAGGAGTAACTTAGGCTACTTTTATTTCAGAAAGATAAAGAAATGCCGCAATGTACAACTACGGTCCAGTACAACTAAATAAACTAATTAACTTTTTTATTAAATTCCATGCGGACGAAGTCGCGACTACAGCTAGTCCTACAAAAATACGGTATTTTCAATCTCTTCCATTATGTAGGTTGACGAACTAACAGCCGAGATGCTACTGAAGTTGCCATCCAAAATAGACGTGGAGACGACAGAGCGGATGATGGGCCCTGAGATTGTGATGCCACTGTGTGTATCACTGTTGCAAGAAATTGGGTACTTTAATGTACTTATAACTGGAATCACAGCGGGTCTCAAGGTATGAACGCGATTTTTTGATCTTGAACGACGGAAAATTTCAGATCAGACGGAATACCCGAATGCAGTATCATAAGATTGTATTAAGGTTTCTTAAGGCAACGCTAACGTGACACCCCTGGCGTCTCAGGCGTCCATAGGCTACGGTAACCATTTACCATCAGATGGTCCGTGTGCTTATTTACCACCATCGTAATATAAAGAAAAACGGAACGATGAAGGGTAGGTCTTTATCGTTTTGGTACTGCATTCATATTTTGTAGTAAGACTTTAAAATCTTAACTTTGACCAATGAGACTCTCCTGTTTTATTGTCCTGTATTATTGTGCATAACTCTATATATCAGGGCTTGCTTTGTGTAGGTAATAGGGAAAGTGCGGAGGTTTGGTCCTTGGTCCAGACTTTGAATTAGAAACATTTGTATGCTCAGCAGAAGGAAGCTTTTGTAGACTAGATAGTTCAGCTTTCCTATTGCCCGTGGATCTCCTGTAATATTGTGCATAACTCTATATATCAAGGAGGGATTGCTTTGTTTAGATAAAAGGGAAAGTGCGGAATTTTAGTCCAAACTTTGAATTGAAAACATTATTATGTTCAGAAGAAAGAAGCTTTAGACTAGATAGTTCCTTATCATTATCGACTAGGAATAATCAGATAAATTTATTCATAGGAGTTGCGTCGAGCCATCGAAGGTCTAGTTGTGATGTCGGAAATGCTCGAAATAATGTATTCATGCATCTTCGAAGCAAGAGTGCCATCGTTCTGGCAAAAAGGTTATATCATTAGTAATTTGTTTAAAATATGGCTGCGTGTATTCTGGAAACTCGTGTGTCCATGACCAATGGTTTAGAAAATGACAAATTGCAATGATGTAATGTCTCAAAAATACGCAATTTCTGACTTATATTATTAGTAAAGTGTATTACTCTGCATGAATGATGCACTGACTTACCACGATTGCATTAAATAAGTGAAAAGTGGTGGTGGTGGGGTTTTTTCACGGTATCCCATTAAAATTGAATACAGGAGCGCTAACATGCTCAGTAATTATATAATTCTTGAGTAAATACCTGATTGTATGGTGTGGAAACTAGATTGGGGAAGTGGTTTCCATACAAGATGGGCTTCTCTTAAGCGCGTAAGTGCACGAGGTCTTGAAAATTCGCGAACTTCTAACTTCGCAAATTTCTTTAGGAAATGTGTGATGATGTGGAAACTAGATTGGGGAAGTGGTATTCAATATGAGATAGGCTTTTTTTCGTAAGTGCACGAGGTTTCCGGAGTACAGGGCACTGTTTGCGGCAGGTCGTCCGTCGATGAAGCCGCTGGGGTCGTGGTGCCGTGAGCTGTGGCTGCGGGGCGCGCACCTGTCGGGCTGGGCCGCCGCCCCCCGGGCTCCGCCCGCGCTCTGCTGGCTGCCCGCGCTGGCCGCGCCCGCAGCCCTACTCACCGCTGTTATGCAGGTACCTATGATGCCTTATTTCTATCTTCTGCTTAGGGTTTATCGTCTAATTTTGGGACAGTCTGTATTCTATTTAGTATATTATTAGATACGCTGGGTTTAATTATAAAACTATTGTAGACGACAGCACGCGGTGAAGGTTGGCCCATAGATACACTTTGCTGGGAGTTCACCGTAATGCCATTGGAAGAATCCGCTTTCGTCAGACCGCCACGTGACGGAGGAGTATATATCAGGCATGCTTTCTCAATGTTATTACGCAATTGTTACAAAGTTTTTTCTTAGTTAATACACCATTATTGGCTAATGACTTCGTCCTCATCTCATGCGTATTTCGTACACGTTCATCATACATCGTACCATTATAGTCCATAAACAGCTGTTACTTTATCGTTTTACGCACCATTATATTGTTTTATATCATGATGTTGGCAAACAAATATACTGAACTTTGAAATCGCGCTGTCCGAGACCACTTTGGTTCTAGAGTATGACGATGATGATGATGATTAGCGAGTGATGAGATAGTAAAAAGTAGGTGGTATACAATGGTATGTACCAGTAGTTTTCCCATTCTAAATACCTTAGAAGAATAATAAATATATCTTTCAGAGGTCTATACTTAGAAGGTGCTAGCTGGTTCAAGAAGGAGGGACATCTACAGGAGCCGCTGCCTATGCAGCTGGTGTTCCCCATGTCACCCATACACTTCAAGCCCGTAAGGGCCACAGGCAGGCGACTAAAGAGTAAGTACACATTGCAATAATCACAGACTAATTATAGAATGGACCTTATTTGAGTCAGTCATGCTCACTAAAATGTTCAGACAGGCGGAGACGTGGTGGGGTCATTGGGGTCCCAAAAATATGGTTGAGAGTAATAACGGCCGTCTCACCCGTTATCTTCCTGAATGGGTGCTGCTTGTAGGGACTGGTCTGCTCTGATAACTATGACTGATTTATAGTAGTAGGTATTAGATTTGTTTGCTTTTCTCGCTATTTGGCAGTTTGTATTCACAGAAAATCCGAAATATATAATGTTGAAAAATATTTATTTAAAGGAACCACACAAGTTTTTTGCTCATTCTTCTTATTATGAGACTGCGTTCCTATTGAGTGGTAGAATAAATAATATGACTATTGAAAAATGCTTATGTACATTTAATTCTTTCTTTATGTTAGTCTTCTTACAGTCGTTTTCTCGAGTAGTGCATAATGAACTTTAAAATTGGTTTATTTATAACTGCCTGGTGTATGTCTATCTCATCTATTTTTGTCCTTAAGCAGAAACGCAAGTTATGACCCGATGAAGGGCGAAATAACAGTGACATTACAGGGTACTGAGGTATGACGGCTTATCCATTATGGGCGCCACATGATGATGATGCCCGTGATGTTCTTCAGGTTCTAGTCTCCCGTCAGCTATATGTGTGGATGATCAGTTCAACTTGATAATGTCTAAATCCTCTTCACTAAGTGTTCTTTCGCCTCTTTCACCAGTATTGGTTAACTCGTGAAAATGTAACAATGAAATTGATTTAAATATTTTTGTCAGATCGTTACACGTGTCCGTGCTACTACTACCCGTTGCGTAAGGGCGCATTCGTGGTAGCAGTGGAGCTGCCGGCTGGGAAACAGACCTCCGACTTCTGGGTAAAGCGTGGCACCGCCCTGCTCTGCACACTCGCCACCTAGCTAACCTCTAGTCTCTGTTCTCTACCATAGACAATGTAGTGTACATTTGGCACAGTCTTTTGATTATAAAAAAATAAAGCTGATTGTGATTAAAACTGCTGTTTTCTTTTTAATCTTTTTTATGTGACACAAAGTGACTAAGAATTTACTGTATATTTATAGATATTTATAGATATTTTTTTATGTGTGAAGTATTGCCATTTGTTACCGCTAAGCGAGGTAAAGAAACTGTTGTGAAATCAGTAAATATCCTAAATGTATTAAAAAATTATGATTCAATGTTAGAAGGTTATGAAATAAAATATTGTAATAATTTATATTTATATTATACAATTTATATTATTATTAATTATCTAATGCTAAATCACATGTTAATAAATTTTAATTCTATCAAATTGCCAATCTCTTGTAAAAACGAGTACATAAATTACGCACTTTTGTCTTAGTCTTATTATCTGTTCATGTTCTTGTATGTTTAACTGTGTGAACGAGCTGTGTGAACGAGCAAATATTCCGAGCTTCTCTATTTCATTTTGGTTGCGGTCGTGGTGAAGATTGTAAACGTCTTATGAGCAGTAGCAGGTCATCTCAGGAACTATCGTTGAGTTGGAAAGTGCATGTCATTCTCGACCTGCACTCGCAATTAAATATTTGGTAGAATCAGTCTATTATAATTTTACTATTACAAAGTGTTGGTTTATTAAACTTAATTTTAAACGATAAACAATTTTATTCTAAATTCTGTTAGATTCTTGAATAATAGTTTTTTCTATAGTAGGTGGTTCATCTGAAACATAGTGGTTTGAGAACTACGTTTACATATAACAGTTTACGCCTAAAAATATTGTTAAAAAGAAGATATAGGTACTGCTAATTTTATGGAAATTACTTACTTCGTCAGATTGCTCCAGTCCACTTGACGTTGGCTATTCTCTATTTCTCCTGTACAGATTAGACGTATAATACCCGAAGAGTTTGTTGTTTTCTCTATTGATTTTCGGTTGTTTGAGAGGTTGGTATCTTATTATAAGATTCTTGTGACGAGGTTTGATATTGAGAGGTTGTTATTTCTAGTGTCTCATGAGAAGATGATTGTGACGATTGAATTTTAAGAAGTTGCTGTGGAAGTTCTGCTTTCTTTGATTTTCTAAGCCTTTGTCTTTGACTTTGTTTACTTGACACTAGCTGTAGATTGATTTTGTTATAAGCCTTTACTCCTTTTTTATTGTCTTTAAAAATGTTATCAGAATGTTATCGGATTGGCTTTACTTCCTTTTTCTAATATTTGTTTTGGTCAAAATTTGTTTCTTAAGTATTAAGTAGTATTAACTATTTATTAAATAGATATTTGATATACATTGTATATATTTGTACTATTGTCAATTTATAACATGTTTACATAAATTAATTTATTGTTGTACATCACTAGTGGATTCTGTGGAAGCTTGGCTCTCACTTTCTTGGTCACTAGAAGAAGACGACTGCGTGTTCTGTTGATTTGATGTGGAACTTGAATTAGACTCGCTTTCAGAGTTTTGTTGGCTTTGACTAGAGTCTTGTGTTGACGATGCCGAACTCTGTTTATTAGAAGATTGATTTCTATTCCAGTTAGCTTCACTGCGTTGTTTATTTATCTTATAAATATTATCAGTTTGCTCCTGGATTCTCTTTTGCTGATTTTTGTTTTGTTCAGCATTGTATTGTGCAGTCGCTTTATATATTAATTCTGACCGTTTTCGTATCTGACTACCTAAATCTGAAGATGATTGACTCTCACTTGTTTGGTCACTAGAAGAAGATGATTGTGTGTCTTGTTGATTTGACGAAAAATTTGCATCGGATTCGCTTTCAGAGTTTTGTTGGCTTTGACTGGAGTCCTGTGTTGACGCTTCCGAGTTCTGATCATTAGAAGATTGGTTTCTATTCCAGTTAGCTTCACTGCGTTGTTTATTTATCTTATAAATGTTATCAGATTGCTCTTGGATATTCCTACTTTGCTCTTGTTGCCTTTGCTGTTGTTGTGCAATATTTTGTTGCGTGGCATCATATATTAATTCGGACCGCTTTTGTATTTGACTACTTAAATCTGAAGATGCTTGACTCTCACTTGTTTGGTCATTAGAGGAAGACGACTGAGTGTTCTGTTGATCTGAAGATGAATTTGAATCGGATTCGCTTTCGGAGTTTTGTGTTGATGTTTGTTGATTCTGGTTATTGGAAGATCTATTTCTATTCCAGGAAGCTTCACTGCGTGCTTTATTTATCTTATAAATGTTATCAGATTGCTCTTCAATTTTCTTACTTTGCTCTTGCTGTCTTCTCAGTTGTTTTGCAATATTTTTTTGGGTCGCGTTATATATTAATTCAGATCTTCGTTTTATCTGACTACTGAAGTCTGAAGATGTTTGACTTTCACTTGTTTGGTCATTAGAAGAAGATGATTGTGTGTCTTGTTGATTTGATGAAGAATTTGAATCGGATTCGCTTTCAGAGTTCTGTTGGCTTTGACTAGAGGCCTGTGTTGAAGATGCCGAATTCTGATCATTAGAAGATTGGTTTCTATTCCAGTTAGCTTCACTGCGTTGTTTATTTATCTTATAAATGTTATCAGATTGCTCTTGGATGTTTCTATTTTGCTCTTGCTGTCTTTGCTGTTGTCGTGCAATATTTTGTTTTGTGGCGTTAGATATTAATTCGGACCGTTGTTGTATTTGACTACTAAAATCCGAAGATGCTTGACTATCACTTGTTTGATCACTAGAAGAAGATGACTGCGTATTCTGTTGACTCGAAGAAGAATTTGACTCGGAATCGCTTTCAGAGTTTTGTTGGCTTTGACTAGAGTCTTGAGTTGACGTTTGTTGACTATTATTATTGGAAGATTCACTTTGATTCCACTGACTTTCGCTACGTTTTCTATTACTTTCATAGATGGCATCGGATCGGTCTTGAATATTTTTTATTTCTTCTTGCTGCCTTTCTTGCTGCTTTGCAATATTTTGTTGAGTCTCCTTAAATAGTTTTTTATTTCGTCGTTCTGCATTTCGAACGTCGGTAGCGTTGTGTGATACATAAGTGGTCACTACTTCCTTGCCCGAACCATCGTCTCTAATTTCTGTAAAGGTATGTCAATTCATTATTTAAACTTGTCATAGAGTTACTCTACCCTAATATTTCCAAATCGAACCTAACTGACCTGAGCTCATGCTCATGTTATCATCCTATACTGGTGCCATGCCAGCGTAAACCGTTAGCCCATGTAGGTAAACTATTCCATCCTCATCAATAAAAAAATCTGTTTTAATAACTTATAGACTAATCTATGGTTCATGTATTTTATAATAGTACATTATTTGCATTTCATTGCTCTTGGTTGTAATATGTAATTCATTATTATTACCTTTAGTGATGACGTAAGTAGTAGGTTGTTCGGTTTGTTCATCTGCAGTGGTAACATATAGTAAAGTAGCCTGAAAAGAAATAAATATATTATTTACAGCTGTTTTAATTTGTGATTTCATTATAACAGTTAGACTTCGGAATTATAAAGACGAATCCAATATATTTTATTAATACATACCAGAAATATATTGAATAGTTAATTTACATGTTTAATAAATACCTATAGGTACCAAATGCGACGTCAATAGAAGAGTTTAGTGATCTCTAAGATTCTATAAAAATATACCTATATTGAAATTCATTGCTAAAATTTTCATTGTAACAAATAGAATCTTGATCATAAACAAGTTCATTCATTGCTTTTATACCTATACCTGTGGACTAGGTATACATATTTCGTTATGTGACATAGACGTCTTGTTACAAATGACTGCTATAATACTCAATAAAGATACATACATTATATTACACACATTTAGGTTTTTATTATTATATATACCTTAGCCATTGTTATCTCAGATGGATCAGTCTCAGGCATTGTGAAATGTTGATGTTGAGATGACCGCACCACTTGATATGACCACATTTCGCTCGGTATATTTGAATCCTATGCCTTTCCGATTAATTTTGATTTCTTATCGAAATTTTATCTCTTGAGACTCAGTCCAAATATATATTTTTGGTTTTTTGCTGTTGGCCAGATTTGGACTCACTCTATTTCGGAGTCCAATCGAGTAGTAAATCACAAATCCTTGAATGCTTTTATCGTTTTTCTTATAGAAATTTAAAAATACTTACAGCAGTTAGCAAGTAGACAATCGTAAAGGATGATTTCATATTGATGGCTAAAGCGTCTAAATGGTTTGTGAGTTACTTCATTGAATATTACTGTTATATATACTCCATTGTTATCTAAACACATGTCTGTAATTCGTAATGCAGGTAATTAAAATTAAAATGATTGTCTTCATAATACGCGTCACCACTCTGCACCTGAATTGACATGGTTTGAATAAATTACGTTAAGGGGCTGATTTGTAAATTATCAAATACTGTCTTGGAGGAGCAGTGGTTTAGCACACGGTTTTGCTCTCTGCCAGTGACGGCAAATATTCAGAGATTTACACTTTACACGTAGTAGTCTTTGTAAAAAGTTTTCTGCGTGGGTGCATCAGTTCCACGCAACTACTTTATCGTAACAGAGTCTAAAATCGCTTTATTAACTAGACTTTCCTTGATATCGTAGCCTTTATTACTTAGACTCAAAAACTGATATTATCAGTTCATGTCTGTCAAACTTATGTTATGAATAATATATATAACAAACCAACTTAATCGAAGTACAGCGGTCCGTGTAATTACTGATGGGATGAAATATACATAGTTAGGGTAATACAGTGTTATAGTACTGAACTCTAGTATATTATATAAGATAATTGTTAGTACTGTGGACGAAAAATACCCCTTTTCTGCTAGATCTTCACGCGGTTGCCCCTTGGAAACCATAGTTATAAATTCTTAGAATTGGCCACGATGTGCTTATTGATCTAGCCCCATACTCATCTTACCATCCTCCACTGATGACACGCTAGTGTGAACCGTTAGCTTATGTGGGTGCACCATTACATTATCATCTATAAAAATCTGCAGAATATATTCACCCCTCCGATCGATCACCCGTCCAATTCAAACGGGGATCGAAATTACGACGGCCTGAGCCGAGGTTCGAACCCCTAGTGGTGCCCTCAGACTAAGTCGTATCCGTCAGGCAGGAGTTGGCCTTCAGCTGCTCCATAAGTCCTTCCGCGGGTTTGGAGTGCCATCTGCACTCGCCCCCTAACGTCCGGTGAAGCTGTAAAGGCCAGCTGCGGCCAACAGCATTAGAGTAGTTCGAAAAAAAAGAATATATTCTATTTAAAATTAACTATGGTTATAAAAATTGGATGTTTACCCCTTAACAAAATGGACACTGTTGAATGTTTAGTTGTTATCATTTTCGTAAAATTGAAAATGGTAATAACAATTCAGGTTAATAACAATGTGAATAAACGAGTAGCCACTTGTGTAAACGGAGATTTTTCTAACAATTAGGTTACGTGCAACGAATATCGGATTGTTTGCAGTTGAATGGAAAATGAATAAAAATAGCATCAAATAAAACAGCTCTTCCTATTGGTTAAATTTGGTTGTCAACAATAAAATTTATAGCACTATGTCAATTTTATTGTTCTTGAAATCACATTGTATCCGGCTCGAAGGATCATAAAGATTAAAGTGAATTATTCTGTTGTGCTAATGGTATGTTTTTTTATATATGTATGTATTGAATCGCAAACAACGCAAACAAAATAGTACAACAAAGATTTTTTATATTTTTATTGGTTTGTTGAATGTATCTTCATATATAGAGTAAATATTAGTAGTACTTTTAAGAGTGAGTGAGTATCATCCTTCTCTTTTCTTCGTAATGTTACGGAAAGCTATTCTTAAAAAGTTAGAGACAATTCATTTCTTCATAGTAAATTAATGTTTGCTTCAGACAATATTTGCAACAAAAATAATTACTAGGCGGTAGTGTTAACACACCTCTTTTATACGTTTCTTCCAGTGTTGATAGGCGATGAGAGTGAGTTACCTATCTATACCCATCTAGCGACTACCCAGAATAAGAAGGAAGGGTTAAAACAATAAATTAACATTAAAAATAACGACATTATCTTATCATCATAAATTTATTTACAAATTATTGATACAAAATATTTTTTTGTACGACAATTTACTATAATAAATTATAAAGTATTATGCATGAATCAAGTACAGGATTCTATAATATTCAGGCTCTTAGATGGCACAATAATTCGTATGTTAAAATTCATAAATAATAGCCAAAATGGGTTCACCAGAAAATTGTCGAACACAGTACCTCTCTTATTTGAAGTCGGTTAAATATAAAAGTAATTACATCCCGCTGTCGCCACACAATGGGGAAATGATTTCATTTAAGCTCAATACATATAAGCTATATACATATGATTTAGGTCCCGTTCACACCAAACGCATATCAGTCGACTTAGTGTAACTAATTGCAATTTATACAGTCGTGTTCAACGCAAGGTTCTTGCTTATTCTTATTGCGATGAGTCTACATTCCGACTGGGCATAATAAAATAAGACTATTCAAAAGTGCTTCTATTGAGTTCATATGAATAAATTATTTCTATTTCATCCGGCACTCTTCTTCAGCTTGAGGACAGTGCATTCGATGGAGCGTCTCTTTTTTTTTATTTATACTCTTTATTGCACCAATTACAGAACAAAAAAAACAATTAAAATTAAAAAGTATACATTGCTACAAAAGGCGGTCTTATCGCTAAGCAATCTCTTCCAGACTACCTTTAGGTGAATAGAGAAATAATAATACGAACAGGGTAGGTGCTGCACGTAATAAATAAAAATAAACATATATGACTCAAATATATATACATATTAATACATACCTACATACACATACATACACTTAATAGTACACATACATTTGGAAAGAATGAAGGAAGATTAGTTAAGAGAATAATAAGAAATGAATCAAAGGGAAAGAAAATGGGATTTGACAGAGGTTTTAAAGCTGGCAAGTGATTGAATGCTCCGAATGCAAGAGGGATTATATTCATTAAATAATCATGTACAAGCTTATTTGAAACGAATAAGAATAGAGTTTTATGTCAGTTCGTCGAAGCTCGAAAGCACTCCCAACTGACGGTAGCTTTGACACGTCCAAACAGTCGGTCCTACATGAATAAAGATATTTAGATTTTTACAAGTAATAAAACTGTACTATATTTTACAATCACATATATTTAACTACACGCCCTGGCTACGCACGGGTGTACATGTATTATACATATAAACCTTCCTCTTTCTAGAGGAAGGTTTATATGTATAAACATTGTTTCCTCTTTCCGCTTTCACTCTATCTATTTAAAAAAAAAAACACTGCAAAATTCATAGTGTAGTTTTAAAGATTTAAGCATACATAGGGACAGGCTGCGACAGCGACTTTATTTTATACTATGTAATAATAATAATGATAAAGTTGACTGACTGCGTTTGGTGTGAACGCTTCCTTACCTCCCAGAATATCACGTGCTTCATATAATTTACTTTAACAACGCCTCGTCTTCGTACACTTCCTATATTATATTTAGCTTACATACTTAATACAAATACTTATTTAATACGAATTTACTAAATGACTTTTCTTATATGGCACTAACTTAACTTTAGAAATATGGTTTAAATTAATAATATTAAACCTTATAGTGTAGTTAGAAGGCGATGGCGTAACCGTACCATACTATGGTAGTGGCAGATAAAATGCCATTGTGTCTTGGCCCGGATGGGGCCTATTTTTATTTTATTTATTTATTTATTTAAATACTTCATCAGTGTACAGTTTGATGCAGTCCAGACTCACAAACTAGCGTGACCTGTATATCAGGAGTCAGTTCCTTCCCAAAACAAGGATAACAGTTTTAATTAATTTCCATTCAGACAAGCCTAATTAATATTTTATACAATTTATCCAGTGTGTGTGTGTGTGTTTTTTTTTTTTGGGTCTCATTGTCTTGATAACATAAGACGACATCGTTCTTTTTTTTATTATTTTTCGACATTTATATTTAACATTTCAATTCTATGTTTTTAAGTACTTTGAATGTCATCTAGGCTGAACATGTTGGACAAATTCATTCTGAATATGTATATATATAACATTTCTTTATGTAATCTGGCATGTGTTATAAGAAGAATCTTACTAGAGCTTTAATTATCTATAATAATTAACAATTATTCTCATTTCAAACGCATTAAATAATAAATTTTATTTATGTTAGACAAATAATAATAAATATCTCCAGACAATTAACACAGCGCCATCTAGGCCCACGGTAAGCAGAGCTTGTGTCATGGGTACTAACCAACTGATATAAATACAAAGTTTTTTTTGTAAATACATACATAATATACATAGAAAACACCTAGACCGATACAAACAATCATACTCATGAATACAAATGTTTGTACCGTGCGAGGAATCGAACCCGCGACCATATGAAGTGAAGCAGTATGCTAAACCGCTAGACCAAGAGGCCGGCCAATAGCTAAATAGAATATACCTTTATTTGCATTATATAAAGAAGAAAATCGCATTGAAACATTCTTAAATACATCTCAATAAAAAAACCATCAGACACGAGTAGTGACTTGGACCTCAACTCAAAGACCCTAAGGGACCCACACACCATGACATGTAGAGTTCATAAATACATTTGTATAACTACAATAAGGCCGCCTTATTGCTAAAAGCAAAGCAAGGCATGCAATTATATTTGTTACAATTTCTACAATATTTTCCTACTTAAAATTGAAATGTGTATGTACTTATAAATTAATAATATATGTGTTATAAACAAGGAAACCGTGATATAGGAAATAAGGTATATATATACGCTCCTGTTTTCCGATTTTATTAATATTTATACAAGTTATTCTATATATATTATAACTTATAATTACTACATAGAAATAAGTACACAATTGAGAGCTAATTGATTAATTTATTAAGGAAAATTAATATTGTTGAAAAATGTTATTTCCAAGTCTGCAACTATAGTTGACTTATAAACTGCTGTAATATAAATAAATATGTATTTCTTTAGGTCTTTTATACGTCTTACTCAATTGTATTATTTTGAAAATAACGTGTTTTTTTAATATATTAAATGGTAAACAAGCTGACGGCCCGCCTGATAGTAACCGTTGCCTATACACTCTAAAAGCACTACGGATAACACGTTATTATCCACTCCGATCGATTCCCTGTTGAATTCAACCGTCCAACGATCGAAATTATGACCTGACCCGGTTCGAACCCCCAGCAATGCCCTCAGAATAAAGTCGTATCCGTCAAGCGGGAGTTGACCTTCAGCCGCTCCATAAGTACTTCCGCGGGTTTGAAGTGCCATCTGCACTTATCCCCTATCATCCGGCGAAGCTGTAAAGGCCAGCTGCGGCTAACAGCATTAGAGTAGTCCGAAAAAATTATATAGCCATTCTAGAGGAGCAAGATGTCATGCATCTTATCCTATAATTTCATTAATCTGCACCGTACAGCCGAAACTCAGCTAAAGCAAGCTTAATGGAAGTTGTTTAACAAAGATAATGTAGCGTGATGGTTATCACTTCATCACTGTAGCGTTATATATGATGTGATGAGATGTCGCTACTGTTTTTCCTGTAGTATCTAAGTGTAGTAATTGAGCTACATTAGTAAGTTTATTCGATAGTGTGCTACATGGCTTCGTAACGCGCACACTCAACGCAGAGTCGTATCGTGGACTGACTACACAGAACTTAATCTATGTGGAGATATAAACTAATGGAAGGGTGCCGAGTGTTGAAATATTACAAGTAGGCACAGTACATTAATACACATATCTTATTCCAGTAACAGTCTATACCTCTACCGGCTTCTCAACAGGAAGCCTCCCTCTGTGATGGTACTTGATTCTCCTAAACCTTTTTATTGGGCAGATTCCAGTACTCCTGTCGTAAGCTCCGTAATCGCACTTCGGTGTCGTACAATCTCCATTTGCGATACACACTCTGTCCCTCAGTCCGAAGTGCTCCTTCCCCTTTGCTAGAGAGAGACAGTCGCGGCGACGGCTTGTCTCCAACCAGTCACAAACGCACGTGCAATAGCCATTTTCAGTTATTCTTGCTAGGAACAGCGTTGGACAGGTGCATCTAGAATAGGTAATTTATATTATGTCAGGTCAATTTTACGCAGCGCTATCTAGTTCCAAGACAAGCAGAGCCTACGTTATGGGTACTAGATGACTGATATACATATGACATACCTATATAGTTTTTTTTGTAAACATATACATAATTGACATAGAAAATACACAGACCGATAGAAACAATTATACTCATGAATACAAATATTTACGCCGTATGAGGAATTGATCGCTTTTTCCACTTCTAACCATATCTATACATCGGCACCCTAGGCATGCTCTTATTAATCCAGATGACCCCATATCGTCATTTAATCACCACCTACTTCCCTCCGTTCCGCCCCTACCACGCTATCAACGAGCACAGGACACCGTCCTAGCCGGCAAAGACGACGACCTCACCATATTATCCAAATATTATTTTTTATTCCACACATTTATATTTTCCAAAAACACGTTTAAGATTTATCAATTATAAATAACTCTATAATTATATCTTTACTCCAGAGTCAGATGTCCGCCATTTTGGAATGACAATTAATTATTAAAAATGGCGTTAAAGCATGCACAATTATAGGACGCGGGAATCTGCAAGTAGGCGTGCGGTCTGTCTCGTTCTCTTTGTCTACATTTACATGCATATCTTTCCTGCGTGAGCGCATGTTCGCGCATGAAGGAACTTCCGTGTAAAAGTAGCTTCTCTTTGTGAGTGAGATGTCTAATGGAATTACAAGAAAACTAGCTATTTTCATATATTTCACTATTAGCTGACCCGAGCGATTTTGTCTGCATCACACTTATCATTAAATATATAATGTATCGACCAATTTACAGAATATATTTTTAAATTACAGCCTATGTGTTATTCTGATGTATAAGCTATGTTATTGTAAAGTTTCGTCAAATTCCGATCAGTAGTTATTACGTGAAAGAGTAACAAATACCCATCCATACTCACAAACTTTCTCATTTATAATATACTAGCTACTCGCACCCCGGCTTCGCACGGGTGTACGTGTATTATATATACAAACCTTCCTCTAAAATCACTCTATCTATTAAAAAAACCGCTTCAAAATCCGTTGCGTAGTTTTAAAGATTTAAGCATACATATGGACGGAAAGACAGTAACTTTATTTTATACTATTTAATGAAGTAAGATAATTGTTTCTGTGAAAGAATCTTGCCTGACCTTTTCAATTGAGGTGGTGCGGTCGGCTCGTCCTTCTCCAAAGCTGGCTCCTCAGTAGGCTGCCGTTCATGTCTCTGGTTGTCTGTAGTCGTCTTCCTCTGCTTGTAGCTCTCTCTCTTCTGGTGTTCCACTCTTGAACGTATGGTGCTCTGCATTGTCTCGCGAGGTATGCAGTCACATTGCGTGTGATTGAAAAACAGCATCCGTGCCATGGTCATGTTGCCTTTGACTGTATTTAGCTGTAATAGACATTTGCACATAAGCCACAACTATTTATTATTTTCGAGTGGTGGCTCCATTGAAAATCAGCGCTGCAGTGACTCGCTGCAGCAGCTGAGTAGAGGCCGTTTTAGTTTATAGTGTAATTTTAGTTTTTAAGTTCTTTTATGTTTTCCACACTGTACTATACTATGCTGAATAAATTATTATTATTGATATACAATTAGATTTCTCAAATGTACCCACTACGCTACATATCACAATATTTACTAGAAGTTAGGAACACGTCGTCTGGTGGTACCTCAGTTTCACCTTTTACAGGATTTCAGGTGTCATAATCTACTTCACGTCATATTTTTTTAAATATTATTTTCCTACCCTCCAGTTCGGCTAGCTACTTCAGTCAAGAAGAACTGACATGAAATTCAATTGGTATATTATTGTTTTTTTAGTCTTGTTCCGTCAATGTGTATCTAAACTTAAAAAAGAAAAAAAACAATACGCATTATTACGCTCGACGATCAGTTTTAAAAATTTTATGTTATTTTAAAAAAATGGCTAATGCCTATTTATGATTGCACACAATACGAAAAGTAGTATATTTGATGGACTTAACATGCGGCATTCTCTATCAGTAAACCATAGATAGAGCAGACAATAACATTTCTCTCTGTAAACACGCATGTTTTAAAAAAATAATCTGGAATCTTCAGTGGTCTCTTATGCCCAGTAGAGTGTGAGATCACTTACGTATAAGGGTATGATGACATATTTCCCGGCGACAGGCGCGCAGACCTCCGCCTCGTCGTAGCAACATCCCGAGTCTGGCGCGCATCTGTGCAGTTGCACGCACGGCGGCATGTATCTAGATAACGATTATATATGGTTAACAAATGAGGAAATTATTATTTATTTAACTTCAATGCCCAAAAATAAAGTGTTAAAAATAAAAATTAAAAACAAACATAATTATCGCGGACTTAACACCTTGCGATGTTATGTACCAGGAGAACATGAGTAGTGCAGAGAAAGATTGTGGGCGGTGCTCTAATATAAATGAGACATGTAATAAAAATATGTATATACATATATAAATATACAGATAAATACTATATATCAATAAATATATAAATCTATGTAATCTATGGGTGCATATCTACAAACTATGTGTTAACCACAAACAGTATAAAAATTATAATGTTTGTGGTTATACAATGATTAGACACAACTATAAGTTTTTCTAATGTCCGACTATCGACGTACTCCAACATACAACATCAACCCTTTTTTTGGCAGCGAAAGGGTGCGGTGAACATTAGTAATGACCCCATTACTGAAAATATACCATGTCAGATTGACCTCCAATCCAATCGATTCCCCCTGGAAACCATCGTAATAAATTCTTGGTGAATTGGTCACGATGGGCTAACTGATCTGATCTCATGTTCATCTTATCATCCTCCACTGGTGCCCCGCCAGGGTAAACCGTTAGCGCAGGAGAATGCACCATTCCATTATCATACATTAAAAAAAACACCTAGCGGCGTTATGTACCAGGAGAACATGAGTGGTGCAGAGACAGATTGTTGGCGGTGCACTAATATAAATGACATGTGAATAAAATATATAAAGCAAAATATATAGAAATGTTTATAAAAAATATAATTTAAAATTCAAAATTCTTTATTTAGGGAACACAATTTTTACTACATCCTATACAGTTGTTGAAGACTTCTTTTAAATATAACAATTAGTGTGTCAATCTTCTAACTAAATATATAGAAATAACTTTAACAGACTGTTGACTGAGAGGTGACTGACATAGTGATCTATCAACGCACATCCCAAACCACTGGACGGATCGTGCTGAAATTTGGCATGCAGGTAGATGTTATGACGTAGACATCCGCTAAGAAGGATTTTGATTAAATCTGCCCCCAAAGGGATAAAATAGGGGATGATAGTTTGTATGAAACGTCAATTTTAAAACGATCGGGCTGAGACTTTGCATACATAAAGCTACTATGGCGTAGGCATCCTCTAAAAAAAGATTTTGATAAATTCCTCCCATAGGGGAGATCCTTTAGGGGATAAAAAAACGCGAGTTTATTTTCTACTAGCTATTCCCGCGACTTCGTCCGCGTGGAATTTGACTTTATTTTTCTAAAATAAAAGTAGCCTAAGTTACTCCTTATTACATCAGCCCAAAAAAAGTCCCGTCAAAATCGGTCCAGCCAATTCAGATATTAGCCGGAACAAAGAGACAGACAGACAGACAGGCAAAAATTGTAAAAAATGTTATTTTTGTGTACGTACCGTATTTCATATGCATGTGGTAAAAAACGGTTCTTTCAAAATTGCAAACAGACACTCCAATGTTATTTATTTGTATAGATTATGATTTTCTATTCTATTCTATCCGAAGTAAATGAAGTTACTCACACAATGTTAGCCGCGGGGGCCAGTTGGCGCACGTTGAGCCACCTCGGTTGCGGGTCCCTGCACTTGGCCTTGCGTACTACGGAGGCTATATTTGCAAACGCCGCTCGCCGAAGTGCAGTCCGTTCGGGCACTGTCAGCGACGCTGTAACAGTTACGGTTAAATTAAATAATAATTCAAAATTCAAATTTAAAATATCTTTTGATTCATATTGTTCAGTCTCTTATGATATATAAAATCTACCGTCATTTCGGAATGATCGGGAGATGAGAAAAACTGACAAGAAATTCAGCTAATATTATTTTCAAATGAATGCTGTACATGTTTACAATAATACAGATTCATTGTTAAATTTAAATTTGGGAGAATTGAGTGACCAAAGTTTTGTAATAATATTAATTTATTCAGCACAGTTGTTGAAAACTATTTTATACCTTTTTTATTATCTATGTTTTTTTATAATTTTATATGACATAAGTCAATTTAATACAAAAAATATTCTACAACTACAACGGTGCCGTTTTACTTTTTGCTCGTCATCTTGATCTCCATCCTTCACAACAGTATCATAAAGATTGAAAAATATAGAAGAAAAGCGAATATTTCGCTATGAGCTGAAAGTCTCCACGCAGCGCGTTACTGTAGCGCTGATTTTCAGTGGAACCACTACTCAAAAAAAATTACATCTTTGATATATATTTCTTTAATACATAAAATTATTTATCAAATATTTCTTAATTAATCAATTATTTATTAATTATCAATCGATTATTTATTGATAAAATAATCAATTATTTATTAATTATCCAATTAATTTACGTTTATAATACTAGACAAATTAGAAGATTAATAATAACTTTATTTAATGGAAAACTTAACATACCCTGAGTTTTATTTATTTATCACTTGTTTAATACCCATAACACTAACTTTGCTTAACTTGAGACTAGATGGCCCTGTGTCCTGAGATATAATTATTGTTTAAAAGATATTTAAAAAAAATTAACGACTTACAATCATCAAGAATTCGTGGCCTCTCATTGGTTGCAACTATAGGGTCCACTACAGACATAACCGCGTCCCGGTACTCAGGGTCCTGTTTGGTGAACGCTGAGGGGGTGATGCCAATGATAGGTTTGGAGGTAGACATGGTGTCCTGCTCATCATCAGGGTACCAGTCCATTGGGTATTCACCTTCCACTAGATCTTGGAGTTCCTGGAAAGATTAAAATATTTGTTTAAAATTATTGTTTAGTCGTGAAAAAGTAATAAACAGTTACAGACAAAATACTTTCGTTACATACATTTATATAGTAATATCAATATGGTCCAGAATAGATAAACAACCTTAGACGTAATTAATAGATCTTAGCACAGATAACATAATATTACATAATCTTAGCTATATTAGTGGAAATCAAGAGTAATAATACAAACTAAAAAACAATTTTAAAATCATTTATTCACATTGGACTTTCCGGCCTCTTGTGCACGTCATATTTTTTAATCTTTTTTCCTACCGTCCAGTTCGTCTAGCTATAGTGCAGGATAAATATTGACCCGCATTTTATATAAAAGCATCTGAACTGAAAAGACAAATATTTGTTCTTTCCAAATCTTTAACCATCGCAATAAAATCCTTCCAAATATGCGGGAAAACCAATCTGACATCCGATCCCAACTACATACAGAAAACGTGATGAACGCACAAGAATGCCGGGAGTAGAACCGGCAACCTCCAAGAATAGAAGTCTTATTTAAAGACGAGTGCGCGGGTCTGTTTCTTTTCACGTCCAAACATTGATGTAAATCAATCGATACTATAAACGATTAATTTATATGCAACTATTGAACTTGCGCTTTGATCTGTATGTATTTTTATGATTCTTTTTTATAGTTTTTATTTATTTTTTATGTACAGTACTAAAGCACACGTGGTGGACGAAATTATAATAGCGTTTTTTAACTATACCAATACAAGAGCAGTTGGCTTTTATAGTTTAAACTAGGGGCTAAAATGAGGACAGTTTTTTTTATATATCAGCAATTTCCCTAGTTTAGATTCTAGAATTTAAGTTTGGGCTGCAGGAGACCATATCGGTTTACGCTGGCGGGGCAGCAGTTGAAAATAAAATGTTGATTTGCCCATCATGACAAATTCACCAGAAATTTATCACGATGGTTTTCAGGGGGAACCTGACACGGTACATTGCAATGGGGTCATTAAACCATTACATTACTAATAATCGCCTTTCGCCCTATTGAGCACGGTTGAGAGGGTACTCCTGATCTGTGAAAAGACTTATGGAGTTGCTAAAGGTCTGATGAAAATACGAATTCAGTCTGGGGCTCTGGGCGCACAGTCCAAGAGCTCCAACGTCTGTTCAGGCAATCTCCTCAAGGATGGGCCTGCCTATCCTTGAGGTATCTTTGAGTATAGGTTCTCGTAATTTCGATTTTCATTAGGATGATACAGGGTATTAAAAAAGGAAATTTTCTGTCTGTGTGTCGGTCTCATAACAAGAATATTGAGGTTCACACGCCGGCTCGGGCAATCTCCTCAAGGATAGAAAGGCCTCGGTTCTCGTAATTTCGATTTCCGTGGTCAGGGATATAGTATCAGGACACGATATTAAAAAAAGAAATTCTCAGTTAGTGTGTCTCTGTCTCATGGCAAGAATAATGTGCTAAAATGTAAATAAATTGTTTATCTATCTATATATTCATTCATTATCATCATTAGGCCTCTCCCAAGGCACACGACGGGGCACGATCTTCAGCCCTTCTCTTCGTGTGTCGTCACTCCACTGAACTGCGGGGCGTCCTACACTACGTTTGCCAATTCGCGGTCTCCACTCTAGAACACGCCTAATCCAGCGAGCATCGGTTCTGCGACATATATGACCAGCCCACTGCCAATTCAACTTACACATATGAGCTATGTCGGTGACTTTAGTTCTCTAGCGAAATACTTCGTTTCGGATTTTATCCCTCAAAGAAACTCCAAGCATATCTCTTTCCATAGTTCGTTCCATATTCATTAGTAAACAGTAGTAATAATAATCGTAAGTACGGTATACGCAGCAAAACGTAAAAAACCAGCAAAAAAAGCTGAGAAAACGAAACACAACAATAATAATAATAAAAGAAAATAGTATATTTACCCTTGTAAAACATCTCCTACAAAAAGCCACAATCTAAATACCTGTCGCATAACTTGAAAATTCTTGACCTCCCTAACAATATCATCACACACACTTGGCTGAAGCACGTGTAGGTGAATATTACCTTCTTTTAAATTTGTAAGGGAAGAGAAAGAAAGAGAAGAGATAATAATAATAATAACCCAGGACAATTCACGTAACGCCATCTAGTACCAAGCTAAGCAGAGCTTGTGTTATATGAACTAGACAACTGATATAATACTTAGATATTTTTTGTAAATACATACATATTATACATAGAAAACACCTAGACCGATACAAACAATCATACTCATGAATACAAATGTTTGCACCGTGCGAGGAATCGAACCCGCGACCATCGGATAGTAAAGCGGTGTGCTAAACTACTAGACCATTGAGACCATTGAGGAGTAATAAATTAGTACTGAGTTGTATTTCACTACGTTCACGAGAAACGCGACGCTGCAATAATTGCTTACATTACAGACATGTGTTCACGACCATCTGGGGATGAGGCGGTGCTTTGCATATATTAAATTACTAGGTATGTGCTACATAGTATCAAAACTCGATAGCTGCATAATATTTATCTTGACATATGTGAACGAAGACCTGTATATATATTGGGCTGGTAAATATACAAATGTAAAAAACAGAAATAATATGTAAAGATACATCTTTACATACATCGTAGTGCATAACATATCTTCTTATTTTATAATATACAGCTAGTATAGCTGTCCCGGCAAACGTTGTTTTGCCTTAAAATAAAATAAAAATTAGGGGTGGACTACCCCTAACATTTAGGGGGATGAAAAATAGATGTTGGCCGATTCTCAGACCTACTCAATACGCTCACAAAATTTCATGAGAATCGGTCAAGCCGTTTCGGTGGAGTATGGGAACGAAAACTGTGATTCGAGAATTTTATATATAAGATTATAATAATTACACGCAAGTTTGTGAGTATAGATGGATGTTTGTTACTGATACTTTGTAAAGATTAAAAAAGCCTATTTATATACAATATCATTTATTTTTGTGTTACACGTTATTTATAGCTACATATATATATCTATTTTATAATATAAACATAATTATTTTGGGAGTTTCCATATCAACAGATTCGCCGGCTGGATGCCAATGAGCATGCGTGGCTACAATATCTGTATGTCACAAACCTGATAACCTCCATGAGGCAGGGTTGCCAACCGTAAGAGATTGACGTGTACGAGATTTTTGGTCTTGGCACGAGGTATGACATTAACCTCGTAGTTTTGTAAAGAAGAAAGAAAATAATGATTTATGATGTCAATATACAGAAAAAGAAAAAAGAGGTCGTTACTTAGTAATGATTGTTTGCTAGAGAATAAAAATTTTACACTTTTTACATTTTACAGATTTTGGCTTACGAATATTTATGGTTAAAAATTACAATTTCTAGATTTGCATAATTGATTTATTTTGTTACCCATGTAATTATTTATTTATTTGTGGCAACTTTGCTATTTCTGACAAACATTTTTGTAAAATAGCAACAAGTAAGATCTTGCTCATTTTTCTTGTAATGAGTTTGCGTTTGTTTATTCGAATAAAGATTATTTTTATTTCAATAAATTAACGAACAAATGTCTTCTAAGTGAACCTCTATATAAAAATATAACTGAAAATTGCTTATATTAAATTAATTTAATACAGATTATTTCTATTTCTATTTTAATAAATTAAAGAACTAATGTCCTTTGAACGCGGCAAATAGTTTTAAAGCTGGCAACCCATTTGATAACCTCTATAGAAATATAACTGAAAAGTGCTTATATTAAGTTAATTCTAATGAAGATTATTTCTATTTCAATAAATTAAAGAACTAATGTCCTTTCAATGCGGCAAATAGTTTTAAAACTGGCAACACTGTTGATAACCTCTACAAAAAAAATAAGTAAATATTGCTTATACTAAATTAATTTATTACAGATTATTTCTATTTCTATTTCAATAAATTAAAGAACTAATGTCGTTTGAACGCGGCAAATAGTTTTAAAGCTGGCAACCCTGTTGATAACCTCTATGAGGTGAATGAAGCACAGTCTTGTATGATGTCGTGACCTGATAGGACGCCGACAACTTTATTTGCCAATATCACAGATTTACAAACTGTTTACATGCAAATGAACCTAACTCAGATGCAGCAAAGGAAACATTGCAGCTAGTCGGGACATGTCACAATATTTGCGTTTGTCTATTGAATTGATACTAATCTGTTGTATCTGCTGTATCTACAACTACAGCTAAACACTAATATATAAATCCACTCATGCATAAACGAAATATCTCCATTGCAAAGTATATACTCTATACTGAGGAGATAAAAACCATCGCTCTCAAGAAGGAATTTCTCCTTCTTGTCCCTGACGGGATTACGCATTATTATGACAAAAAGTGTAAACACAATAGATCGCTACAGGTCGCAGTGCTACAGGTCCTAGCAATGTCCCATGTCGGGGATTATTAGTAATGTGGAACTACTACCAATGGACCATCTTAAGTTAACCTCCACGAAGTTCCCCCTGGAAACTTTCGTAATAAATTCTTGGTGAATTGGTCACGATGTGCTAACTGACCTGACCTCTTGGTCATCTTATCATCCTCCACTGGTGCCCCGCCAGCGTAAACCGTTAACGCAGGCGGGTGGGCATTCCATTATCATCCATAAAAAAAATGTCCCATGTCAGGTTGACATCCACTTGGTTCCTCCTGGAAACCATCGTGATAAGGTCCTGATGAATTTCTCACGATGGGCTAACTGACCTGACTTCAAAGCTGATGCCATCGTAAACCATGAGCGCAGGCGGGTGCACCATACCATTATCATCCAGTAAAAAAAACACCGAGTAAATAGGCTTTACCCCTCATTAAAAAATAATAGACCAAATAAAAAAAAGATGGATGGACTGTGTGAAAGATGATATGGTAAGAAAGGAAGTAAATCACGAGATGACTGCGAACAGAGATGAATGGAAGAGAAAAACAT